GACCAGGAGAAGAGTCCAGAGGCAGTCTGCTGCATAATTTTAGGGGAGAGGTCAGTCTTTTTCTATTAGTTCATTCAGTATAGAAGGAAATATGCTTTACTAATTCTACTGATTTAAATGTTAATCACATGCAAAAGTCCCATTCCAATAAAATCTACAATGATGTTTGACCAAAATTCTGGGCATCATGACCCAACAAAGCTGACGCAAAATTTACCATCACAGAGAGCAAGGAGGACATCTGTACCTGGGACATCCTGGAATGTGTGTCAGAACATGAACAGGATGAGAAAGACATCTCTGTGGGAGAGAAGCAGGGCAGAGATCTGATATGAGGTGCTGGAACCTGAGTGAGGTGAGAAGAGTATCTAGGTAGGGGAGCAGCACAGTACTAGTGTTGAATTCCAAGTGAGGTGAAGAAGATACCTGCAATTGGAAAGATGGGAGATTGATTGCTAGTTTTACACTACCTCAATTACTTTGGCTTCATACGACTTAATACTTGTTAGGGTCTTCTCCAACTTCATTATCCTCAAGGTTGCTTTGGTTATTCTTAGCCCTTTACATTTTAATGTAAAGGCTAAAATCATCTTGTCAATTTCCACATTTCAAAAAGTACTGAGATTTTGTTTGAGATTTCACTGAATCCATACATAAATTTTTGGAGAATGAACATTCTTATAATATCAAGTCTTTCAAACAATGAACGAGATATAGATCTTAATTTCTCTAAATGTGTTTTGTAGTTTGGGGATAGGATAGACAGTTACTATAAGATTTATTTCTTAGATTTCAATTTTTTTGATACTACACCAACTACCACACTCTAGTAATATCATCTTCTAATTGCCACTGACTTATTGCGCCTGAGGCGGAAGGATCGCCGGATCACAGCAGGTTGAGGCTGCGGTGGCTGAGAGTAGCCACTGCACTCCAGTCTGGGCGACAGAGTGAGACTCCAACTCAAAAAAAACAAACAAACTTATATTTGATTTGTTATATTGTCTTTATATCTAGCTAAATCATCAAAATTAACATATTAATTTTGAAATGTATACATTGACACTTCTGAATTTTCTACATATATAACATGTCACTGGCATTTTATTTTTTATTTTCTTACTCATAAATTTTAATTCTTTTTCTTATCATTTCTGTGGCTAAAACATGAAGTATAATGTTGAATAGAAATGATACTTCTCATCCATGACATAAATAGAAAAATTTTTAATATTTCCATTTAATTATAATGTTTGCTGTAGGGTTTTATAAAAAACATGATTGTGTCCTAAAGCATATCACATAGAATTTGTTGTGATTTTTTTTCTCATTCTAAGTACATATTTGTTTCTTATGCTCATTTTTTATTTATATTTTTTATTTTTTATGTAGACCTCTTTAAATTTTATAAGTTGAAAACTCCACAACATCTAGCACTGTTCCTTCTATTAAAAGTGTTCATTGCTGCATGGTGTAGTGAACCTGCAGCTGTCTCCCAGTTCCCCTTCCTTCCTGTGTTATTTTTCTTGCTTTTGCTTGTTGCTATCTGGTTGCAAGATGGCTGCTGCTTCCCAAGACCTAATATCCACAACTCAGGAAGGAAGGAAAGTGTCTCCTCAGAAAGCTTCATTACTTTGTTCAGAAAGAAATTTCTGTCCAATTAGCAAGATTCTGCCAAATATCGTTGGCCTAAATTGTAACTACTGTAACTGTAGCCAGCAGCAAATGAGACATTCTTTTTCTTGAGTTGGAGTCTCACTCCTTCGCCCAGACTGGAGTGCAGTGGCCGCTCCCGGCCACCGCAGCCTCGACCTGCTGGGCTCCGGCGATCCTTCCGCCTCAGCCTTCCAAGTAGCCGGAATTACAGGCATGCGCTGCCACGCCCTGCTGATTTTTTGATTTATTGTACAGATGAGGTCTTGCTGCCCAGGCGGGTCTCGAACCCACGGGCTCAGGCAATCCACTCACCTCAGCCTCACAAAGGCGCAGGATTACAGGCCGAGCCACCAAGCCCGGCTGAGACATTCTTATAATTGCTCCTATTATTCCCGTAATAAGGATTGAATTTTGCTCTTTCTCTTCATCAACCTGGAGTAATTTCCCACCAAGACCTGTATTGAAAACTTATGCAAAAAACTCTGGTTACTTAGTGACTCGCATATATACATATGCTTGAAATTACCTAGTACTTTTAATTATTGTTCTGTGATTGTTTTCCGTGTATATTTTTCATCCTAATATAAATATACCAACCTGAATTCTATTTGAATTTTATAGCTTGCAACTTAGTTACCACCCTCCTCCCATGCACACACCAACCTATAACCAAACAATAAAATGAGAAGTGAAATGAGATGAAATGAAAAAACAATTGTTCCATAAACACTTTTTGGAAATCTTCAACAACTCTTAAAATTTAGAAGCTCAGTTTCTTCCCCGTCTATGAAATGCATTTTCTTATTTTTTATTGTTTTCACTGATGTAAAATTCTTTATAAAATATTATGTTTTAATCATGTTTTACCTGCACAGGAAAAAAAAAATCAAAGATCACAAAAGGTCCTCAAAAAAGCTAAATGTATTTTTCTTTGATCCTTCTTATGACTTGTCCAATGCCCCAGAGTTAACCACTTTTAAGCAGTTCTGTCTTTAGTCCTCTAGTAGTGCACTCCATAAAACTAATATGTTTACACCATTAGATTTTAATTAATCAAGTTTAAAACACATTTTACCACCATATATAAAATATGGGAGATGACTATTTCCTCTCCTTTTACGTTTCTGTTTCTGAAGTTGTTTTTTTAAGTTCCTGCAAATATTGGTTACATTTAGAATTATAAATAATGCATTTAATCACTATTTCTAATTCCATTAACTTTAGACTCCCCAGGATATGAAATAAGAATATTACTGATCCTAGACTTCTCACTACCTGTTCCCTCATTCTCCTCCACATGTATCTGGTATGCCATTATCTCTATCCTCATTCAGGTAGTACTAGTACTCAGAATAAGAACTGAATTCCCCAGGCCTCAAATATGCCAATAACAAAGGTCATAAGGGATCCCAAATCTTTCCAACACCTACTTTCTCTGACTTGCTTTCCCCAGCAAGAAGTGGCAAGAAAGAACTCTGTGCTTTCAGAGTAAAATACCATTTTCCCCAGAAAGGGATATATGTTAGCTCAAGGCAGCAAGTCCAAAACAATGTCTTTCTGGGCTTATGATGCTCCATTGAGGAAATTCATGTGGATGAACTGTGCACAGAGTAAGACTCAGCTTTCTTTGATCACCTCAAATCTATCAATAGGGATCAAGAAGGGACTATGAGTTCTTGTGTTGTTTCCACTTCTTCAATTTACCTCCATGACAAGGGGTCACCAGGGAGCCCAGTCAGCACCTCTTCTAATTTTGACACTCACAGTCTCACCAATACTATTTGCCTTGAATACCTCAGAACTAATCTCACTGTGTCCTTTGCTCCCGCTTATGTCAGTCACCCAAAAACACCAGAATTCAAAGTTACCTCTCATTCTACTTCTAATTTCCATATACTTCCCATTCTCCACTTTTTCTCTCAGACTCCAATTCATAAATAAACATTCTCTTCACCACTGCAAACTAAGCAAACTTAACCTGCTTCATCTGAAATCTGTTTACCTTTCTTACAACTCTCTGAATATAAGGTACGGTCCTCATTTTAGCTTCCAGATCATTCTTACCACTTCCTCCCCCAACAAAAAATGCAATTCCAATTTTCATTTCATCAGACAGCAACACTATACCTCACTTCTGCAGTCATAGCTACTCAAAGTTATACTCCTCTTTTCTAGTGATTTTAGCTCCTCTCTCTTGTTTCAAGGCTACCTCCATCTTGAATCTTTATTATTTTTAATATATCTAGCGATGAAGTCTCAAACTTCATGAACCTAAAACTTTACTTTTAATTATCTTTCTAAGCTTTTTTATCTAACCTTCCTTATCTCAGTTGCTTTCTTTTCAGAAGACACATCCAATCACTGAGGAAATCATATCAGCCTATAAAGTAACTTTACAAAGTCCTTCAATTCACTGGCCTGCTTTCCAGCTACCATTCCATATTCTGAATCAGCAACTCACACTTCAGGTTCCTTCTAAGTGTATACTGGTTTCCAGCCCCCTTCATCCTGTTCTATCCCTTCAGACACTCTCATTCCCTATATATTACACATAAATAACCATAGTATATTGACATCTATTTCTCTTACCCTTCCTTCCTGCATGTCTGTTTGTTCTACTGTCTTGTATCAAAAGCCCTATGCTGTCAGTAAGGCTTCGTGTACTAAAATCTTTTCATTCTTTGAGTTTATTCATAAGTTCCAAACTAATAATATGGCAGATTTCATTTTTAATATACATCTTGCCTTTATTAACCTTAGTTTTATAACAGAAGTCACTTTTTAAAAGTTTCATTTTTCTAAGATTTTTTTTTTTTTTTTTTTTGAGTTGGAGTCTCACTCTGTCACCCAGACTGGAGTCCAGTGGCCGCTCCCTACCACCGCAGCCTCGACCTGATGGGCTCCAGCGATCCTTCCACCTCAGCCTTCCGAGTAGCTGGAACTATAGGCACGCACTACCATGCCCGGCTAATTTTGATTTATTGTAGAGATGAGGTCTCGCCAAGTTGCCCAGGCGGTCTCGAACCCATGGGCTCAGGCAATCCACTCACGTCAGCCTCCCAAAGGTGAGGGATTACAGGCTGAGCCACCGAGACCGGCTCATTTTTCTAAGATTATTTTTGGAAAATTGTGTTTTTGTTCTAATTCAGGACACAACCGGTGGCATAAACATTGTTCTAATTAATCAGGGAAAGTGGTCCTTTGACAATATCAGATTCTTAATAGCCTTTAAAGACTGGAGTTTTACTAATAATATTGTCTCTATCTTTTGAGTCAGACACTTGCTTTTAAGAAACAGTTTAGTCACCAGATTTGATTGCTAAAAAAAAGAAATTCCAACAATCTTTGCCACTTTGCCACATGATTTTTAATAAAATTATCAAGTTTGTCAGTACTCTGAACAAAATGACAAAATATATGACAGGGGTAAAAAAGAAGAGAAAGAATTGAAAACAAAAGATGGCATACTAATGAGCAATAAAAGAATCATATCTGGAGTGAATACAAGTTAAAGAACAATTGCTATATAGAATAAGAAGATGTAGGCTTTCTTCACATAGAAGTGATAAGTTTTAATAAAATATCTAAAAGTTCACATGAGCAGAATGAGAACTTCAGTTTTGATACCGAATAATCCCAGTATCAAAGCACAAATTCAATGACATTAAATAGATTTTCATAACAGATAATTTAGAACTATTTGGAAAACAATATGTAGAAAATATACCTTTACTTTGCATGAGTTAAAAGAAAACTTTTCATATTAACATAAAAATAAAGCTGGCTCTAAAAATCTTGTCTGGAGGGTAGTTATAAACGTCTCTCCTAGGAAAATCTCAAGTGCCATTACTACCTCAGAAATATAATTAGTGTACATCTTTATCTTGAGTTAAAACTATTTTTTAGGTTCTTAAAGTCAAGAAAATTTAACTACAGTACCTCTATTGATTTTAAAAACAGTTAAGTTGTACAGTGTGTCTTCCAATTCTGAGACAGATAATATATTGGGGTAATTACAATTTAGTTTTCAGTTCAGCCTCATTCAAAACTTTGGAATTTTGGTGTATATCTTTGCACTAATTTTCCTTCCCTGTGACCTTTGTCTCTATAAGCTCAGTTCCTGAAGAAGCATTTTCACCAGGTAGAGGACTCCTCAGAAGAATTAGAATCAGTAAGGCTGGAATATAGCTTGATCCTCTTAGTGCTGCTGGCAATCCAAGGTAGATGTATCTATTTTTTAAAAATGTTAAAATACATTAAATATTACAAAACAGTATAGACAGATATAAAAAATAAAATATCTTTATGATATTCTATTTCCATAAACATAATAGCAGTTTTTTGCATGTCAGTCTTGCATAAGCAACTTTGTTGAACTCTTTTATTTATTCTAATGTTTATCCAAAACTTTTTGGGTTTTTAAAAAATTATCATTGAGAAATTCAAATTTAGTTTAATTTTTTTCTTATATTTTATCATTCTTATTTTTTACACCAAATAGAATCTTCACCTTAAATTTAATACTGACAGTGACAGCAGTTTTATTGTAGTATTTATTAAGAATGCTTCCCTAAATTCCTGGAATCACACAACATTCAAAAATTAAAATAAGTGAAACCCTAAACAGACCACTAATGAGCCACAAAATTGAATCAGTTATTAAAAAAAATATCCACCAATAAAAATTTGGGACCTGATGGTTTCACAATTCCATAGCTGAATTCTAACAGACATACAAGGAACATCTGGTACCAAAACTACTAAAGTTATTCCAAACAATTAAAAAGGAGGGACTCCTCTCCCTAACTCATTCTATAAAGCCACCATCATTCTGATTCCAAAAAATGGCAAAGATACAACTAAGAAAGAAAACGACAGGTCAGCTTCTCTGATGCACACAGATGCGAATAATCTCAACAAAATTCTTGCAAACAGCATCCAGTAGTACATCAAAAGAATTCTCAGTCATGATCAGCTGGGATTTATTCCTAGGATGCAAGTTTGGTTCAATATCTTCAAATTAGCAAGAACAATTCACTACATAAACAGAAGTAAAAAAAAGGACCACATAATTATCTCAATAGATGCAAAAAAAAAGCATTTGATAATATCCAACATTCTTTCATGATAAAATCCTGAACTCACCTAAATATTGAACAAATATTTATCAAATTAATTAGAGTCATTTATGACCAACCCACAACCAATATCATACTTAGTGGGCAGAAGTTAGAAGCATTCCTCTTCAGAACTGAAACAAGACAAGTATTCCTACTCTCACCACTCCTGTTCAACATAATACTGGAAGTTCTAGGCAAAGCAATCAGGCAAGAGAAAAATAAAAGGTATCTAAATAACAAAAGAGGAAGTTAAATTATTTCTCTGTGCAGATGATATTATTCTATATTTAAAGAATCCTAAAGATTCCACCAAAACACTTCTAGCACTTATAATGACTTTAGTAAAGTCTCAGGTTACAAGATCAGCGCTCAAAAATCAGTGACTTTTCTACACCAACACCATTTAAGCCAAGAACCGGATAAAGAACACCATACTATTTACAATAGGTACAATAATAATAAGATACCTTGAAATACATCTAATGAAAGAGGTGAAAGATCTCTACAACGTGAGCTACAAAACACTGCTGAAAGAAATTAAAGATTACACAAACAAATGGAAAAACATTCCATGCTAACGGATTGGAAGAAGCAATATTATTAAAATGTCCATACTACCCAAGACAATCCCATGCAGTCCCTATTAAATTATCAACATCTTTCACAGATCTAGAAAAAAATACTTAAATTCATATGGAAGCAAAAATGAGTCCAAATAACCAAAGCAATCCTAAGGAAAAAGCACAAAGCTGGGGGTATCATGTTACCAGACTTCAAACTTTACTACAAGGCAACAGTAACCAAAACATCATGGTACTGGTACAAAAACAGACACACAGACAAATGGAACAGAATTGAAAACCCAGGAAAAAAACCACTGTCATATAACCATCACATCTTTGACAAAGTTGCCAAAAACAAACTCTGGGGAAAGAATGCCCTATTTAGCAAATGTTGAGAAACTGGCTAACCATTTGTAGAAGCTGGACCCCTTCCTCTAACCATATGCAAAAATTAAGAAGGATTAATGGTTTAAATGCAAGAACTCAAACTATAAAAGCTCTAGAAGAAAGCTCGGGAAACTCTGCTAGACACTGGTAGTCAATGAATTCCTGACCATGACATCAAAAACAAAAGTGCCTAAAGCCAAAATGTACTAGAGGGACCTAATCCAGCTCAAGAACTTTCGCACAGCAAAAAAGATTGACGAGGAGATAACTAGAAAAAAACGCTAGGCAAACAGACAGGTGGGTCCTCTGGTAACAATGTAGCAAACTCTGGCAGGCCTCTCAGGCTCAGCATTGGTAAACAAGCTCCCCATGAGCCTTTCAAGCTAGAGTTTAAGTACTCACTGCTGGAATCGAAAAACAATTAATCAGCTCACTGTCAGGCCTCTACCTCCTGACGATTGGTCCTTAATACTGATCAATCAGAACAGCTGTAGCTCACAGTTAGTGCTAGCCAATTGGCTTTAACTTAGGGCTATATAAGCTCTAGGTTTTCCGCCCTAGACGGGCAACTGCTTTGGATCTTCTGTCGGCGTGGGGAGCTTTTCTATCCTCTCAATAAATCCTGCTTTCTCACTTTCTGGCTGTGCCCTTCATTCTTTCTGGGCATGAAACAAGAACCTCGATCAGAGATAAGAACCTCGACCCTTGACCCTTAAGAGCTGCGACTTGAATAGCTGCAGAAGATTCTTGGAGCCGGAAAAGCGATGCACCCCAGAGGTTGGCTTGCCAGCTGAGGGAGCCGGCTGAACCAGGAGAGCTGCCAGAAGAAGGTGAGACTTCAAAACTGAGACACCCAGAGGGCTAGGCTTGCTGGTCCATTAGAGCCAATATTCTGGGGTGTAGGCTTGCTAGCCTATTAGAACTGACACTTCTGGGGCTACCAGTCCTTGAAGACCCTTTCTGGGGCTTGGCTGGCCGACCCATTGAACTGACACTCTCAAAGCCCAGGATGACCTGAAAAATCCGCATCATGATCATCAACAAAATTAACAGACAACAGTTATGGAAGTTAAGAAAATATTTGCAAACTACATTTCTCAAAGACGTAATATCCATAACTTATGAAATTCAAATGAGCCAACAGAAAAATTAATAATCCCTTTAAAAAATGTGCAGAGGATATAAACAGACACTTCTCAAAGGAAGACACACACAGTAGTCAACAAACATAAAAATATATTCAATATCACTAATCATAAGACAAATGTAAACCAAAACCACAATGAGAAATCACCTTATACCAGTCAGGATGGCATTTATTTAAGGTAAAACAAACAAACAAAAACAGATGTTTGTGAGGATGTGGAGAAAAGGGAACGCTCATATGTTGTTGAGAATACAAACTAGTTTAATACCTATGGAAAGCAGTTTAGAGATTTCTTAAAGAACTAAAAATAGATTTACCACCCGATCCATCAGGAGAAGTTAATAGAAATTTAAATAGAATTCAAATATTAAAAACACGAAAATAGAAACAGCAAAATGAAAGCATTTTTTTCAAAATTAGAAATATTAACCAAAAATAAGGCATTAGGAAACATGAACAATATTGTTTCAGCAAGATTTAATGTGAAAACACAAATAGCATTTTGGAGATCAGAGACTGATGTTGAGAAAAGGTGACACTTCAGGCTAGTAAGATGATGAAATGATAAAGGATGTAACAAAAATGCTTTAGAGAGTAATATAATTTGGATAGGTAACTTACATACGGATACTACTTTCAGTAATGTGTTAATTGCTAACAATTTAACAAACAAACTTTTGAAAGGCTAGGTTAGGGAAATCAGTTATGCTTATGTTGAGCAAACATTTTAGAAATAATGGGAAACTAAAATTTTATTATATAAATAAGAAATGAGATATAGCAGCAGTATTTATTCTGAAAATAAAGTCATAAATATTCTTGTCACTTGTCAAAAAAGTTAGATATAAATGGTGCCATTTTATGCATAGTGTATGCTTAGAAAACAATTCTAAAAATGATTATCTTTACCTGAAATTGGTGGAATCATATATCCTGCATGCCCCTGTCTCACCACATTTTAGAGTTCCCCAATGTAAACATGTGGAGTCCACTAAAGCTCCAAAATATATCGGTGCAGGAATGCCAGCTACAATTAAGAAAGAAAAAAATCTATCAACAAAATAAGAATTAAGATACATTTTTTATTTTAAAATATTTCAGTATTTCTAATGTACAACAAAGTTTAACAAAATATAAATCTAATGCTCTGAATTTTGTTTTTATGTTACTTTTAGTGCAAAGTTCTAAATTATAAAAATATGGAATCAATGGGTAAAATGCAACAAAATTATTGATAGAGTAAAACAATGAATTAAAGATTCTGAACGTTATATATTTTTAAAAATGTTTTGGACCAATAATCTGTATATTTTATTATAACAAAGCATTTTGTGTTCACTTACTTTTCAAATTTAACAAAATAGTAGTGTAATTAAGGTCAGATAGACCTTTACAAGTAAAAGAAATTCTTCATTTCTTTGTTTACTTCATTCTAATACTAATTATGAAGTGCTGTTTAAATATAGGAAGGATGTTTGCCAGACTGTTATCCTGAGATAATTATTTTATTTGCTTAGTAATTTATTTGTTTGATATGGTGTTGGGAAAAAATAACTATTTTTACCAAATACTCTTGTGCAAAATGCATGCAATCCCACACCAAGGGACTTCTCCTCAGACTTGATGCACCTAAAAAAAAATATATATTCATAAATAAAAGAAAAATAAAGAGGTCAAAAATTACCATAGTTTTTTGGGGGGGTGGGTATGGAAATTTGTCTATTTAAATTTATTAGAAACAGGGAGCTATTTATCAGCAGAATCAGAAAGCAAAGAAAATTTCCAAATAGAGGAAATAGAAACTTGACCAATCCAATGGAAACAGGAAAAACATTTAAATTAAATTAAAGTTAAATTAATCAATATTTAAATTAATTATGATTTTAATTAACATAATTAAATTAATAATATATATACAATAAGAAAAGAAATTTGTGTATTAATTATTACACTGAAAAACTTTGACCACCAATGACTGAGTAGGAGTGGGGAGGAGAATGACTGTGAGACCATAAAAACCTCTAGTTTCTCAAACTTTCCTGTGACTTCAACATTTTTTAAAGATTCTTGCCCAAACCTATTAAGTTTGCATCATGAAGGTTATAAATGTTCCAACTCCACCACTCTTTCTACTGCATTACTTATCATATCTTCATTAAGGAGGCAAAAAACCCCAAACATCCCTTACTCATAATAATAAAACCATGTTGGAAACTACCCTTAAAATACAGGACAAATGAAACCAGCAGATCTCTTCCAAAACTCAAAGGACTTTAAGTTTAGAAAGCAAGAGAGAATTAAAAATTAATTGCGCTCACTTGGATACATTAAATATGTGCAGCTTTTTGTATATCAATCATACCTCAATAAAATGGTGTTAAAAAACAAATGGATCCCACAAAAGGAAATCGTACTTTTTAGCTTAATTCTACTTTAGGTTAAGAACATTAATACTTTGCATGCAATGAAAATGGTCTCCTAAATACAATAGATGAATTATTTTATGTACACATTTAAAATTCAATATATTGTGTATGAGAAACAATCTTAAATAGTTTAAGCAGCAGAAATATACAAAACAACAATAAGTGAAGATAACACAAAATGCCTCGTGTTTTATCCCAGAGTCAAACAGAAGTCTCAGGCTATTAATAAAACTTTGAAAAATGTTGTTTTGAACACAAAAAAATTATGTGCTTTGGGGAGGGAGAGAGAGAATCAACAGTTTGTCTTAAAATGCTGTATATTTTATTAAATGTACTATTGGAACAGAGCAGTTCCTAAAGTAGTATTTTGAGGAGGGAAATTCAGCACAGATGCAAACTACTATTTCTTTCCTCAACTTCTCAATGCTCAGCTGTAGTTTCCTCTTAAAAGATCTTGACGTCATTTCTTTTTTAGAAGGGTAGGCATTTGGTAGTATGAATGAATTTTTCTACGTGTTAACTGGAATTAACAGTCATTTATCAAACATTTTTTCATTTTTAAACATAAGCATCTCTGTATCCCAACCCACGAAACAGCAGGCACTGTTGGGAGTCTTAGGAGAACATTCGCAACCCACCAGTCTACATGTGTGGTGAGGACCAGGGTTCAGCTGTCAGCAGCACCATGGAATCGACTGTCAAACCTTTCTGCCATTAATTACAAACAAAGATATGTCATTATCCTGGTATTCTGTTTGCACTGTAGGCTTTTTATTATTATAAGATCTTGTTCCTGTGAACACATCTGAAGCACAACAAATTGTCTTCAAGGTGTGAGGGTGGAAAATAGCAGGCAGGGAGCACGTACTTTCCTCTCTTGCTTTTCAGGAACCCTAGGCTTGCCCAGCATGAAACTGGAGGTGAACACAAACTTCTGTGTCTGAAGAGGGGCTTGTCCCATGGACCACACATGACACCAGAGGCTTGTTGAGATTCCACTGCCTCTGGCATCCAGGCCCTGACTGCAGATCTGGCTCAGGAAGTCAGCAAACCCTCTGGGGCAGGCATTGTCACTACAACTTTATTAACATCCTGAAGGAGAGTTGCTGCCTCTTCTGGGGTAGGCAGCCCCTCCTCAGAGAGAGAATCCACCTCAGAAGGATCAGAAAAATCACGTGACCGTGGTAAAAAAATAAATAAAAAAACCACACCAAAAAACCCACTTCTGACAGCTTTACTATCTGGGGTTCTATGGGTTGAACTTTAGAAAATGGCTGCCAGCACTCACTCTTTACCTATTAAAATGACCATTTCATATAGCTGACCCTAAGATATCTATGTGTTTCTTATTTTGTTACACAGTGAGAGGTCCACCCATTTACCCTAAGAAATAAGAAAAGAAATAGGGAGGGATAGGAAAGAAAATGGCCACAGATAAACTTTTAATTGCTAACTTTAAAATTTTATAAAATTCAGCAATGCTTAGTGCAAAAGCACAATAAATGGTTTAGTCGAGCACTGAGTTCTTAAATACTATGGGTTCCAAGTAAATTTCTTTCAAAAAGTTACCCTAATAAATGAGCAGAAAGAAATCTAAATAAATAAAATAATTCCTGTACCTCAGAAGAACCATATATCCAGGTATGGCAGCTAAAGAATAAATGAAACTGCTCGTTGCCGATATGATTAGAAAGTACTGTAGCATCATGGAACAGTCATGCCCTTTGTCACACAGACCAAGAACTGCGGATGAATTTTGTGATGTTCTAATGCAGCTGCAGTTTTGGAACACCTGTCAAAAAATAATATCCTATTTAAGGATGAAAAATTTTGAACACAAAACTCAAGTATTTTGTGCATAACCAGTTGGATGAAGATGGAAACTGCTGTTTCCTTTATTCCCATCTCCTTTATGATGATGCTCAGGATATAGCATGAAACAAAAGATAGAAAGGTAGTTTCAGAAAAATGGTATTTAAAAAAATTATATGAAGTACATTTGTAATAACTAAGCTTCTAAAGATATATCTTTTGGGGGAAAAAAAACAAACTATTTTGCCACAATACTATGTATGATAAACACAATCTGCTTCTGAATACTGGGTTGAAATATTTAGATGCTTACAAATAAAGCCTTGTTTTAGAAAAATATGGTTTATTTCAAAATCACAGTTAAGTGAAACTTTTTTGAATTGTTATAGGGTTTCCAGGTCTTAAGAATTAAAATTTATATTTTACTTTGATCACCAACCAACATTAAAAGTATTGTGATATTTTGGAAACAAGAAAATATTTCTAATTCCAACTTCTTAAAAAAACTGTCAGAATGTGAAAAACACAAAAACCACACGCATACACATATAAAAAAGGAAAAATATGAACAAAGCAAATAGCTGGATAATTGAGATAAAACTGCCAACTTTATCTCAATGAAAAAATGTTTTAGTACCAAATTATTTGAGTGATAATACAAACTGCTTGAAAATTACAGTTGTGTTCAGACACTATGAAGATTTTACATAAGACTTAGGAAATAAAAGATAATCAAGTGAGCATACAAAAAATTATTTTTCCACACACACAAAAAATTAATTTGTTTTTGAGGAAAAACCAATTTTACTCTAATTAAATGTAGACCCAGTTTATAAGTAGAAAATATCAATGCAGTGCAAAATATTTCTGTAAAAAAGGCCAATTGGATTTATTACCATGTTTATTCCTGTTCCAACGGATCTCTCACAACCAGCAAGACAAGCTGACATATATGACAAGCCATTGACTCCACACACAGGATCCCATATTTTAAGTGGACAGTTGCAATTTGTATTGCAGTCAGCAAAGATGTTATTTCCTATATATAAATCTTGTTGAATTCTGAAATGATTTAAAATAATGCCACAGATATTGAAAGACCATTCAAGCATTTTTTTTCTTTTCATCTCAATCCCAGTTACATTTCTTCCCCTCCCTCAAATGGAAGGAGAAATCTTCCAGTCATTATTGTACAGCCTATGTACTATAGTTCTGGCATAAGATGTGCTTGCTTTCATGACCACATATCCATTTTTTCAATGATTTGTTTCAGAAAAAACATATAGGTAATAAATAAGCATTGATTGAGCCCCTAACATGTGGGAGGCTTTTTCCAGTTACTATTAGAACTCAAAAATGAAGACCTAATCTCTGTGGTTGATCCATAAAGTGGAAAGTAAGAAGACAGAACAAACTTGAAAGTTTCATTTATAATGTGGATGATATGCTTAGCTCCAGAAACATAGGTACTTGAGCTAAACAAATACAGTCTACTAGTATCAAAAGTACCCAGAGCTTGTAATGTGATCAAAAGAATGCTAGCACGGGAGTCTAAAGATTGAATTCAGACTAGATCACAGTGTGACTTTCTATACATTTTGCTTGGGAACCAGCATAATTGGAGACAGAGACAATCTTTACAATGCTTTCCAGTTTTAAAATCCATGTTTCTATATTGATGTGGTTGAAGGGATTTACCATGAACTCTCTTTGTCATTGAATCCCTTTGAATCTCAATTTCTTCATCTGTATATGGAGATAAGAATACCTATCGTAAATGGAGTTTATAAGACTCAGATCAGATAATGTGTATAAAATGACTTTATCATTTTATATTTGAAATTATTTTAATTGTATAATCCTTGATGGCTTTTAAAGAACATTTTAGAATATCTTTATTTCATTTTTAGCGATGACTAAATTTCTAAATATATTCTACAGGTAAGTTTTTAAAATTTACATCACTATGGAAAACTTTTCAGTAAATCCAGATAACCCTCAAAATGCAAAATCTAAACTAGTCAATACATTCTACCTAACTATACAAATGAAATATATACATTTATACATTAATTAATTTATAATGTATTAGGATTCAGTTATGTCAACCTTAAACACATAATGGAAAAATATAAAGGCTATTTTGACTGTCGAGTCAACTTTTAATTTTACTCATTTAGGAGAGTATAAAGTTCATGGCTAACATTTCCTAATACAATTTGAGACTATAGGTAGTTTCCTTGATATCCATGTTAATGTTTACTAGACATATTGCATATTTGACTCTGTGTCTTTGTTCACAAAGACAACCACACACACAAATACATAAAATCATAAACTTACTCACCTTGGGATATGTCCCCAACCTCTTTATAAGCTTGGATGAATTGGGTTATGATTGACAGATGGTGGAAAGATACAGGAAAACCATGGATCAGTGCCATTAACTCCAATAAGCAAATGATCTGGTCATTCATTACCATTATAGAAAATATAGTATTAGGTGTTTGTTGAAAGAGTATGACATTTATTAGAAAACTACATACCCTTCATAAGAGGTGGTTATGCCAGCAACTGAAGAATTATCACAGGTCATGAGAAAACATGCAAGATAAAGAAGATAATCAAGTAAAGATAACCAGCATCCTATGTGGGCAGCTTTTTTGACAGTAATCTTGAACTTCTTCATGATTAAACCACCAACTATATATCCAATGCATATTGGAGGTAAGTTATAAACACCTATAAATGCAAGTAAAATATTATTTACAAAGTGGCCTACCAAAAGAACAAATGTGTTATCATTTTTAGCTAGTGTGTCTTACATGAGAAACTAGGTCTAACTCACAGTGAAGAAGGATGATTGAATTTAGTTTACAGTTAGTTACACACTACATACAGGGATTTTTAAAAATACCCCCATTATTTCAAAGTATATCTTGAAAAATTGTTATCATCATTCACTTAACTAGTTGCAGTAGATTGTACATTTCATATAGATGGGATTGTAATCAATATCTCTTTTCTTAGGATCCAGATAGAAGTGGCAAGTCAAGGTTGACCTAAAACTTATTCATTTTTTTCTCTCCATTCTGTGGAACAGGAAAATCTATCCATCTTTCTGTCTATCTCTGTATAATTTTTATATTATTTATTCTCACTCTGGTTCCTAAGATTTTGTTTCATCTCAAGGTATTTTAAAGGGTAACTTTGCTGAACCTGTTGCTATCAAGTATATTTCAAATCTTACTTCTACTGACCACCACTTTTTCTGTCTCAATGTCCCCTGCCTCCCCCACCAAAAAGAAAAGTAAAAGGGAAAAGAAAAAAAAGACAGCCTTAGGTTGAATTCTTACAATACAACTGTTTGGTTCAGTGAATCATATTCTTAAGAAAGCTTATTTTAGTCCATTCCAGAGCCCAATACCATGGAATCTGATTTAGAGTCTGAGAGGGAACTTCAAGTATCTAAACTTTTCACAAGCACTTGGGATAGTGTCTATGCAGATAGTCTGGGATCTTGTCTCTTCAAAACAGTGAAAAGATTCCAGAAAAAACTCAAGATAGGATAGAACCTCGGGGTTAGTGTGGTCACAAGACAAGAATTCATGTGGCTGCAGAGAAACCTAAAACCACCAGGGGGACTAGGAAACTAAGGAATATGGAAACCATAAATTGGAGTCAAAAGAGTAAAATCTGGGAGTAAAATCAGCTCCCAGAATCCTCATGAGCTAACTCTGTCTTTTTTTTTAAGTGTACAGACAGCCTATCTGAAAAGTGTATCTAATTTTTGAACCCCCTAAGACTTTCATAAATATTGTGAATTTGCATTCTGACTAGAGAGACAGTAGAAGAGAGAAAAAAATCAGGATATATCTGGTCTCTTCTTTTCCTTACATTTTTCTTGATTTGTTTTGGAGAGTGGAGGGGAGAAATATACCAGTGAGACAAATATTCTAAAAGATTTCAATTTAGGAGTTTCCTAGACTCACCATCACACTGTTTACCATTTCATGAGGTGGGAAAAGTATGCTATTAATGCAGAGAAAAATATACATACCAATGAGAAAGATTGCATCCGAAGATGATTTTCCATATTGTTGTTCCAGATATTTAGGCATGAAGGAGATCATATTAACAAATGCATTGAACTGTAGCACACTTATAAATATGAAAAGCATGTAAATTGGATTGCATGAAAGACTTTTCATGAATGGTAGAAAATCTAAAATAAAAGAAAAACAACACTGTCAAACTAACTTGGCTTTGCATTTGGTAACTGGCTTTTCAGTCTTCCTCACAAATTCTGTTTAGTTTTGCAATGCACACATATTTGTTAACTATTTTTGACCTTTGAAAGTGAACATTACAGCATTGTTCTGATAGTTTCTGGAAGTCAGAGATGCAACTGACTAGGTAAGAATCAGAACACAATCGATTTGCCTTCAATGAGTCACTATTGTGTCTTAGAGCAAAACTATATCATAATAAAATATTGTCTGTGTCCAAGCCATTTCTTTATCTTCTTTTTTCCTCCTATTAATATCCTCTCTTCTCTAGAGATTATCTTCAATGAAAGATGCTTGTTCTGTTCCCTAAAGTCTGGAAGGAAATCAATTTGATAAAGAAGCTTGCACTCAAATATTGATTTTGTCAGTTCTCAAACATTTGAAATGAAGATATATTTGGGAATTATTGGAATATAAATTTGCACAAGTACCAGGAACTTTTCTACTTTCTACTTCTTCAAAACAATAGTTTTGATGGTTCTGCTAATGGTACACAACAGGTTTCACAATTAGAACCACGTTAAAATATTTTTTTAAAATACCAACACCCACTCCCAGAGATGCTGATTCATTTGGTACATTCTAGGGACTATGTAAGTTGTTTCACCAAAAATTATCCCTGTTCAAAAAATTTTAGAGCCCAATGTTTGGCGGGCCTCTATTAAATGTGCTGGTTCACACTGCTGCCATTTGGGCTAAATTTTCACTTCTAATTTCTTTTTACTTTCTGTACCTTAGTGATCTTTGCCTTGATTTCCTTATTTTGTACTATATGTCTTTGCTTAATAAATTGTCTAAAATTCATTCTGGAACAAATATCAATAAACAGTTTAGAAGATGAGAAAGCACAGGTTAATAAAAATAAATAAATTATAGTTATAGAATTCATATTAATGAATAACATACATGGCAGAAGATAGAGTTGTTGTTGGAGCTCTTTAGAGCTTTTTATATCAACCACATTTATTAACATTCCTGTCCTAATAGATGAGTCAATAGTTCAAGTTTATTTTCTATATGTCTTAATCATAAACTAAGCTCCTTCCTAATTTTGAAAATTGGATTTGCCAAAACTTCTGGGATGCTATGAAAGCAATACTATGAGAGAAATTCATGTCTCTGTGAATACACATGAAGAAAATGGAAAGATCACAAGTTAACAGCCTAACAAGTCACCTAAAGGAGCTGGAAGAAGAGACCACCAAAACCCTCACTTCAGCCGAAGAAGCCATATCACCAAAATAAAAGCCCAGATACAGGACATAGAAGACAAAAATATCACAGGAAAAAAGCAATGAAACAAAAGCTGCTTCTTTGAAAGAATAAACAAGATTGATGGACCCCCTAGGTAGATTGACCAAGAAAAAAGAGAAAGACCAAATAAACACAATCAGAAATGCAAAAGTTCAAGTAACAACTGACCCTGAAGAAATACAAAAGATTATAAGAAATAACTATGTACACTTGGATGGAAACAAACTTGAAAACCTAAATGAAATGGAGGACTTTCTGGCATCACACAACCTCCCCAGGTTGAAACAAGAAGAAATTAAGAACCTAAATAGATTAATAACAACCCAGGAAATTGACTATGTCATAGGAAAACTACCTACAAAAAAAAAGCCCTGGACCAGATGACTTTCCAGCAGAATTCTACAAAACATACAAGGAGGAGCTGATACCAATTCTATTGAAAGTATTCTAAACAATCAAGAAAGATGGAACTCTACTCAAATAATTTTATGAAGCCAACATCACCTTAATACCCAAACCAGGTAATGATCCAACAACAAAAGAGAACTACAGGTCAGTATCCTTGATGGACACAGATGCTAAAATTCTCCACAAGATTATGACAAACTGGATCCAACAACACATTTCAAAAATCATCCCCCATGACCAAGTAGGCTTCAATCCCAGGATGCAGGGCTGGTTCAACATCTGCAAGACTATAAACGTAATTAAATACAACAACAGATGTAAAAACAAGAACTACATGATTATATCATTAGACTCAGAAAATCTTTCAATTAAATCCAGCATCCCTTCTTGATAAAAACCCTCAAACACCTAGGCATACATGAAGCATACCTCAAATTAGAAGAGCCATCTATGATAAACCCACAGCCAACATAACCCTAACCCTCGAACACCTAAGCATAGATGGAGCATACCTCAAATTAGAAGAGCCATCTATGATAAAACCACAGCCAACATACAGCTAAACAGACAGAAATTGGAACCATTTCCCCTGAAAACCAGAACAAGACAAGGATACCAACTCTCACCCTCCTGTTCAACATAGTATTGGAAGTCCTAGCTAGAACAATCAGACAAGAGAAGGAAATCAGGGGAATCCAAACAGGAAAAGAGGAAGTCAAGTTATCCCTCTTTGCAGATGACATGATTCTATACCCTGAAAATCCAAGAGAATCTTTCAGAAACCTATTTGTTCTGATAAAGGACTTGGGCAAAATCTCAGTGTACAAAATAAATATGCAAAAGACAGCTGCATTCCTATACACCAACAATAAACAAACAGAAACCCAAATTAAAAGCACAATCCCATTCATAACAGCCATTAAAAAAAAAGAAAGAAGTACCTTGGCATCTTCCTAACCAGAGAAGTAAAAGACTTTTACAACAAAAACTACAAAACACTGCTCAAAGAAATCAAAGATGAAACAAACAAATGGAAAAATATTACATATTCATGGATTGGAAAAATCAACATTGTCAAGATGTCCATCCTACCCAAGGCAATTTACAGATTTAAAGCGATATCCATTAAATTACCAGCATCACTGTCCTCGGACCTGGAATCAACAATACAGAAATCCACATGGAAATGGATAGCCAAAACAATCCTCAGCAAAAAACAAAAAAAATGGGGTATTCTACTTACAGACTTTAAACTTTATTATAAGGCTATAATAATCAAAACAGCCTGGTACTGGTACAAGAATAGGCATATAGACCAATGGAACAGGATAGAGATTCTGGAAGCAAAACCTCAATTTCTCAACCAACTCATCTTCGACAAAGACTTCACCACCAAACCACTGGGGAGAGGAGAACGTATTCACAGTAAATGTGTTGGGAAAACTGACTGACCACATGCAGTAAATGTGCTGGGAAAATGGTGATGGGAAACTGGCTGACCACACGCAGAAGGTTAAAACAAGACCCCTACCAATCACCATACACAAAAATCAACTCTAAATGAATCAAAGACCTTAATGTAGAACCTCCAACTATAAGAACCTTAGAAAATGCAGGAGACATCCTTATGGGAATTGAAAATGGCAACCAATTCCTGTTCAAAACCCCAAGTACCCATGCTATAAGAGAAAAGATGGACAAGTGGAACCTCATCAAACTGACCAACTTCTACAAGGCCAAAGAAACCATCAAGAGAGCAGGGAGACAGTCCACAGACTGGGAAAAATATTTGCCAACAAGTATATATAACTTTGTATCTCTGACAAAGGCCTAACATCTAGGATCTACAAGAAACTCAAATGTGCCAAAAAGAAACAGACAAGCAGCCCATTACAAAGTGAGCAAAAGATATGAATAGACCCTTCTCAAAAGAAGACATATGAGCAGCCAACAGATACATGGAAAAATACTCAGCTTCACTACTCATCAAAAAATGCAAATTAAAACCACACTGAGATGCTACCTAAGTCCAGTAAGGATGATCATCATCACTAACTCAAAAAGCAACAGATAAAAACAACAGATGCTAGAGAGGATGCAAGGAAAAGGGGACACTTCTACACAGTTGGTGGAAGTGTAAACCAGTACAACCTCTGTTGAAAACAGCTTGGTGATTCCAAAAAGATCTAAAAATCAACCTTCCATATGACCCTGCAATCCCCCTTCTGGGAATATACCCAGAGGAACTCAAATCACTCTGTAAAAAAGATACCTGAACACACATGTTTACTGAAGCATTATTCGCAATAGCAAAAACATGGAACCAATCATGTTGCCCATTGAAAGAGGACTGAATGAAACAATTTGGTATATATACACAATGGAATATTACACAGCCATAAACAAGGACAAAATTATGAACTTCGCAGCAACTTGGATGCACTTAGAGTGTATAATACTGAGTGACCTATCACAGAAACAAAGGACCAAGTATCACATGTTCTCAATCATAAGCGAACCTTGAATAATTATCATAATACTACAAGAAAGAGATTGACAGTAGTGGGAAACTGGTAGGGAAGGAGGGGATCATGCCTCATCAACAGGGTTACCTGCATAATGAACATTTGTATACCTAACCCTGAATTGTACCCCACATCTTTAAAATTAAAAATTTTTTAAATGGGCCAAAAATATGAATAGACAATTTTCAGAAGAAGACATATAGGCAACCAATATATACATTAAAAAATGTTCAGCCTCACTGATCATCAAAGAAATGAAAATTAAAACCACACACAGAGATACCACCTAACTCCAGTCAGGATGGCCATCGTCAATAACTCAATGAACAATAGATGCTGGAGAGGATGTGGGGAAAAGGGAACACTTCTATACTGTTGGTGGGAATGTAAACTAGTATAACCTCTGTGGAAAAACAGTGTGAAAATTTCTAAAAGATCTAAAAATTGACGTCCCATATGACCCAGGAATCCCCCTTCTGAGAATGTACCTGGAAGAATTCAAATCACTCTACTAAAAAGATATGTGCACACGCATGTTCATTGCAGCATTATTCACAATAGCAAAAACATGGAACCAATGGTGCTGCCATTTGAAAGTGGACCGAATAAAGAAAATGTGGTACATCTACACAGTGGATTACTATGCAACCATAAAGAAAGACAAAATTATGAACTTTGCAGCAATTTGAATGGAATTAGTCTATAATACTCAGTGATTTATCACAGAAACAAAGATATGCTTACTACATGAACTCACTTATAAGCAGACCCTGGACATTATTATATTATTAAGAAAGGGATTGGTAGTAGTGGGACACTACCAGAGGAGGGGAAGCATATAACATCAATAAGGGTACCCACACTTTGCCTGTACAATGACCACTTATGTACCTAACCCTGAATTTTATCCCACATCTTTAAAATAAAAAGTAAAAGAAAAAAAGAGAAGGAAAATAAAGAAAATTGGATTGATCTTACAAATCACAAGAGGCCTATCAGTCTATATCAATCTTTTAAGAAGAGTTTTAAATATACATATATATGTACATATATATATATATATATATATATATATGTTTTAAATTTCAGTGATTTTATTTTAAAATTGTGGGATACAGTTCAGGATTAGGTATACAAATATAATCATGATGATTCTGAGAATTTGCAAGATTCTGAATTGGTTTCAAATGATCCAAGTATTAGATTATTTTAATTGTGGTTTGAGAATGTAATTGTTAATAAAACTTCTGTGCAAATCAGTATTATAATTTATGGGTAATGGTAGAAATAGCAACAGCATCAATAAAAATGTTAATCCTAGTAGCAGTATTAGTAGTAACATGTTCCAGAATATCTTTTACTTTCACATAACAATTCTATAATAACAAATACCATTATTATTCTCCTTTTACAGGAATCCTCCAAATAAACACTCTTTAATAATGCCAATGACCAGGCCACACACCCACACTAATAAAAACTAAATTAGACCTTTTACTACAGAACTTTCAGGGATGAGTAATTTTTTAAAAATTTCTAGGTGATTCCAATATGCGGTCAAGTTTGAGAATCAGTGCTCTTGAATAATTAGACTATATTAGCTTAGTTTTCCACAGAAATATCTTTTGTAAATCATGCATTGAACTTTTACCAAGGATCTATTAAAAAGCTGTATGAAATATACACCTGCATTTGCTGGAAAACCGCTGTGTAGTTCAAAATTACCAGTATCATATACCATATGATAATTTTTTTATTTTTACTTTTTTTTTTACAGTTTGTGACTTGGGGAACATGTTCTTTTTAAATATTATTATTATTTCCTTTGTACAATATAGAAAATTAGGTAACATCATGTTTTATTTTTCTGCCTTAACTTCCAGGAAGCTGGCAGTTAAGCAAACATTTTTGTTATAAAATTATACTCCTATTAAGACTGATGTACATTTTTCCTACATTTGTTATAAGCTTAAATTTCTATACGTTATTTCTTAAATTTGGCCTATGTTCTCTGTAAAATAATTTTTTTAAAACAAAAGGGACCAAATATGCTCAGACTGACATAAAAATGTATATAAAGGTTGATCTGAAATAGTGCAGCCTCCAGATTATGCCACGTATTTTCAAATAGTAGCACAGGAATAATTCACCAGTGACTGTTAATAACAAGTTGTCTTAACATAATATAGCATATTATAGTGTTAGACTAAAATAAAGACACATCTGTAGAAAATAAAAAGTAAATCATATACTATTAGAGGTTTTTTTTAATATTTGCCTTTAGTGATTCCACTATTTTCTTGCTTGATCTCTTCTCTTTGTTTCTCTTCTTTGTCATTTTTAATGATGTCAGGATTATCTTCTAGTCCTTCTTTTGGAAGTGTTTTGGGCAAAAAGAAAAAAGGAATGGCAGTAAGCACATTCACTACTGCACAAATCAGAAAGCCAAACCACCATGCACCAACCCAACGAGTATCAGTGGGAGTTATGGTCAGATCATCTGTAAAGGAATATATATTTTTTATTAGCTTAACTCAGTATTTCCTGTATGAACTACAGAAAGTTAATAAAATTATAATTATCTGGTATAAAATTTCATATAATTACTCATAAAATTTTTCTGATAATATGCAGTGTTATAATACTGTTTACTTAAAAATTAGTCTGATTATTTGTCCCATCATGTAAGCAATTTAAATTAGGTGCTCACTAAATAAAAGTCCTATTTCATTACCCACAAATGATTGCTTGATTAAAAAACATTTGAACCTATGTACTTAAATCTTTTGAAACCAAGTATTATGGTTGAGATACAGTAGAAATAGCATTGGATTTTGAATCAGAAAATCAGCGTTTTATCTTGCTCTCTTGTTTATTGCTTACTGGTTTGAAGTATATAAAAATTTATTTAAACTATTCCACCCCAGTTTGCTCACTTTTAAAGTGGAGATAACCTTTCTAATTTTGTTTCAAGTAAGGCAATGATTATATGTGATAACATACCTGAGATATTTTACATATACTAAATACTGTATACGTAGATTTTTTTGAATTACCTGTGTTCACAGATCCAGTGTCTACATAAACGTTTGCACAGAATGATGCTAACAAAAGCCCAATCAAAGGACCAATGATAGTTCCTGTTTGTATAAACCCTAAAAATAAACAAAAATATAAGGTTATAGTATAATTATATACTTACATAAAGAATTCTGGGTCTATGAAAAGCCTGAAGATTAAATTACTTTTGCTTTGAATTTTTTTGACTTAGATATTCAATTTATAAGGATATTAAGGCTGTTGTGTTTATAACCGATGTTTGTTTCTGTAAATGATGAAAAATAAGCCTCATAATCTAAGGGCACTTCCACTAGGCCTCCAAATTCTCCTTACTGGGTCACAGTTAAAGATTTGTGTAGCAGCACAGGCAATCCCAGCTACGATCACGCTATTGACAAAACCACTGTATAGAGCAAGATTCTTTTGATGCTTTCCACAGGCATGCTTTTAAAGGAATTCTAAAGTAACACCTTATTGTGATGAATTTCATGTGGTGCATTCCTCAGGAAAACTCCACTTTCAAATCTCCAACTTGAAACTTCCTTCTGGCTAGGTGCTCATTATTAAGATACTTCTCTCCAATTTTGTCATAATCTCCTTTCTTATCTTTCACTTTCTTATTTCCCATGTCTATCAGTCCTCTATGTTCTCACCTGAATTCTTACTCACTGGGACTCCATCATCAGCTGTTTCGTGACTTGTCTACAATTCAGCATCTATCCTAAGCTCTCTCTGCCTACTGAAAATCCAAATAAGAGCTTCTTCAACTCTCTTTATTTTCATTTCCAAATTTGTCTTTGAGTATTGCCTCTGTCTTCTCTGTGGAGAAGATATGGAGAAGCCCAGTCTATACACATCCGACTTCTGATTACCAATCCCTTTTATCTTCTCTGAGGTCTTGCTCTACCACACACTCTCTCGTGCCTGTTCAAACATCCCCTCTTCGATGATTCTACAATATTTCAAATCCACTCTGCTTTCTTTTCACTACACTCTCTGCCTCTACTTAAGTCCTTTAACATTATCTTCCAAATATTCTCAGGTAGTACCAGTGGTCTCTTTGTTATTAATCCATTGTCCTCTTTTGGTCTTCATCCTCTTAGCTATCTAGGTTTTTTGACATTTCTGGCCAACTCCTCTTTTGACAATTTCCTCCTAAGAAATTTTTTAAAAATTATACATTTATTGTTCAATTTCTTCCTTTATGACTATCTATTTATTTGTTTATTTTTCTTCTTATACTCTTCCCAAAGTAGGAGTGCTTCCCAGTATTTTATTCTAGAATCTCTAAGAATAAATGATGGGGACCCCAAAAGAAGAAATTAATTTTTTTGCAGAGGGCAGATCGCTTGTATTACAAGCTTTCCTCATTCGGTAAGTGTTCTAGGAACCTATAAGCATGAGTGTACCCGCCTGCGTTGTTGTGAGAGGCTGCCTCGTGGAAGAAATATCCTGAGTTGTTGCTCTTCTGCCATGACATTGCACCTGTTCAACAGTTTTTGACCAAAAAAAGCATGACTACTGCACCCTACCTTCCCTATTCACCCAATCTTGTCACGAGTGACTTTTTGTTTGTTTTCTCAGATGAAAAAAGTTCTCAAAAGGAAATGTTTTGCCAGTGTGGAAGAAGTGAAACAACAAATGGCAGAAGCACTAAAAGACATTAAAACTGATGAGTTCAAAAATTGTTTTGAGTAGTGAAAAAGCATCTTGATAGGTGTATTGTATCAAATGGTGAGTACTTTAAAGCCTACTGAAGTTTAAGCACATAAGAGTAAATACACAATTATTTGTAAATAAATTGTGATTATTTGGGGTTCCTTTTGTATATGGGTCCTTTTATAAAAACCTCATTTCTTCCTCTTGTTTTCACTTATTGTCTCTGGGTAGATGACTCTCAAATTTTGTCTAGCTTTTATGTTCTCTCCTAAATTCCAGAGCCATATATAGATCTGTTTTCTTGATCTATAGCTAATTGGCTTATAGTTATTTGAAGATACATGCATATATGTGCACACACATACTATATGTGTAATACTTATAATTATGTAGATATGTATTTACTGACCTTATATGAACCTATCTTATTCATCTTAATACATATAAAGATTATCACAGTTATTTTATATATTATAGATTCTAGTATTTGTTGAATAAATAAATCCACATTATAACAAGGCATTTGTTCATTTACTGTAGGAAATTGCTTGAATTCTTTCAACATAAGTAGGATTTTGAAAGGACTAAATAGAAAAACCCTGAAAATCATAATTGCCAAGTGAGTGAGTTGCCCAAAAGTGCCAAAAGTTATGTGGAGTAATGATGCCTAAATACTTTAACCCATCTTGACTATGGTCTATAGTCATCCTATTCAACATTTCTTATCTTCTCTCACCTTATTTAACATTTCTTATGTTTAGAAGATATGCCTACATTAATAGGAAAATGTCACTAAACTCAAAGTTATGAGTTTATGACCTACTTAGATGAAATAACTAAAGAATATATGCAAGTCATGCAGAATAAATTAAGATCATTTAGGAGATTAGAAGACAACATAAGAAGGCGGGTCTGAAGTTGTCTATTGTGCCAGGTGACGTACATCGATTTAAAAACGATAATTTCAAAAAATGTAACCCCAAATATAAAGACATATATTTGTGAAAAATATGAAGAAATCTGACTAATATGGAGAGACTGTGTTGAAGAGATAACTATATGGGAAACGAAATAGATAAATAGGGTGCAGAGCCATGAGTAATAAGTGGAGAGATCAGATTTAATAAATAGGGAGACTGGTATGTTTTAGGAACATAGTAGACAGACATGATTAAAATAATGTTTGAGAAAAATTATGCTGCAAGTATGTGTATAAGAAATTGACAAAGGAAAATACTAATGATAAAACAGCCAATAAAGAAGTTACAATAATCTACAGATGAAGTAATGAGGACTTAAACAAAAATAGCGATAGTGAAAAGGGTGAGAAAGGTTTTTAATATAAAGGACATTTTAGAGAAAACACTGGTAAATAAATCTTATAACAGTTTGGATATAGTGTGATGCTAAGGAAAGAGTCAAAGTGAACTTAGGATTTGTGAAATTTCCAATAGCTGAAAGCAGATTTTTTAAAATATGGGTCATTTGGAATTAGCATATATTTCTCCATTCAGCAAACTTTTATTGATGACCAGCCATGCCAAGGCACTGCATATCATTCTGGAAACCACTGAGCACAGAAAAATAATGAATTTCTACCCTCAAGGAAGTTGCTACTTTGAAAAGGAGATAAGGCAGATTTTCAAACTTACCAATATATAAAGGAGAGTTTTCAGATTTGGCAAAATCTTCTATATAGGAAATTCCCAAAGGCATGATAGGAGTTTCACCCATTCCACGGATAATATTTCCTACTAGTACATATACCCACATGAATGATTTAACGTCCTTCATACATTCTGTATTAAAATGTAAAAAGAGATATTGCATCAGTGCCTTTGGTAGTAAAATGTTAGTGATACTTAATTCTAGGTTTTCTTTAGGCATTTCACTGTTCTTCTGTGACCACGGTAGTCAATGATTTATATTACTACACTAGCAATGAATCATTGGGCCAATCCTATTGCATTTTCCGGCAGAATACTTAAGTATGGACAAGTTTGAGTGATATGCTAGAGGTAGTTCCTACTGGGTTGAAAGAGATGAGTATTCCAATTCAGCATTTAGTGACAACTCCATGGTAGTTTGATGGGACTGTTACACCACAGAATTTGACAGACACTAAATATCAAGGCTTTTTATTCACCTAAGAGATTCAACTAGGGGACCCAATTGTGTACTACAAATACTACCTATTCCTATACAAAGTTGGGGAAAGAAAGAAAACCCACAAATATCATTCCCTAGAATTGACGTTATAAGATTTAAACCATTGTCTCACTGAAATTTGTATTCTCTATAGCTCTAATTACTTTATGGAAACTGAAAATATTTAATTGAAAAGTAATCACCATTTCTCTATAGAGCCTATTGGCTGTACCACCAAACAACTCTCTGTAGAGAAATTCATACCAGTCTTTGGAGCAACAGCTGCATGGGAATTGAAAGTGAGAAAGATAGAGAGATTTCTAAACACTTATATCTACGTTTTTTCCATTTATATTCTAATCCAAAATCCTGGTGAGGAAGCTCTGTGAAGTGATGTTTTCTGGGAAGTGAAGGACAATGTACTCTCACCTCCTATAAACTGGCTGAGTGCTGCATGTGAGTTCCTGATCACAAATGGGTTCAGGAACGTCTTGTGAGTTCTGTCTCTCAGTCATTTCCAGTTCAGAAAATTGTAATCTCCATTTTTAGGTATTCAGATTTTTTTGAATGATGAGCACAGTGATTAGTGCCTAGAGATCATTGGCAAACTCTAGTCCTAATCTAGGGCAACACTGAAAACATCAGGTGAGTGATACTATCAGTGTGCATTCCTGGAGATGTACCAGAACAGAAAGATGTTGCTATATCCACTACAATGCAGACTAGCACCCAAGTCAGTCTTTGGCAAAAGCTAGTTCAAAATAGCTACTGTGGATGTCACTGTTTTTCTTTTTTCAGGGAGGATTCCTTGACAGAGCTGCTGGGGAAGCTAGTCTTTAGCTTTCTGAAACTATTTTGGTTTCCTATAATGGCAGTGAAATTTCCAGTCTTGGAGACTACTACAACTTCCACAGATATAAATCCAAAATAAAAATTTTCCCAACACAGGAGGAAAGGTTTATAACTGAGGTAAGTCAGCAGAATCATCTCCAAACCAAATATCACCAAAAGATTGTGTAGCTTCCCTAGTGTATGGAGGGGCAGAGCCAGTATCTTGTTACCTGGGCCTACAGGATGCTAGAAGAAGCACTACTATTGCATTGTGTTACAAAGTAGCATCTCCAAAGAGGAAAAGGGGAGTAGAAAGACAAGTTCCTAGTTCAGCAGAAAGGGACTAAAGAGACTAAAGTAATTCAGAACTATAGCATACTCTCTTGCTTTCCCTGCTATGAAAGATCAGTGATAGAATTCATATCTCTTGAACTTCACCCCTTCTCTATTTCCTCTTTACATAATCATATAGTCCAAATAATCAGCATACATTCATTCTTCTAAGATGTTTTCTTCTGTGAGATTAACGTGGTCCTTGGATAGATGGCTTTTACTCATTTTTAAATAACCAATTTAAGAAACAAATTAGTCTTAAGAAATACATTCAGACAGGATACAATGGTTCACACTTGTAATTCTAGCACCTTGAGAGGCCAAGAAGAGAGGATTGCTTGAGTCCAGGAGTTTGAGACCAGCCTGGGCAATATATAGACACCCTGTCTCTACAATAAATAAATAAAAAAAATAGCCAGGTATGATGGTGCACACCTATAGTCCCAGCTATGTGGAAGACTGAGGTAAGAGGATCACTTGAGTCCCGGACTCTGAGGTTGTGTATAGCTATGACTGTGCCACTGCACTCTAGCCTGTGTGACAAGTAAGACCCAGACTTTAAAAAGACAAGAAAAGAAAAAGTATATTCAAATATAAGATAAATAGCATTCTGTGTTATTAGCTATTCTTATTCCCCTTGTGATCCTTTCCAAAATCCTTGAAGAGAGAAAATACCTTTGTTCATATGCTTTACTCATTTAATCAAAACCATTATCTCATTTGAACCCCTTAGAAAAAAGTGCCCAGTTTCAAATTCACTGAAAAGAAAGCAATAAAATGAAGTAGACAACCTGATGGATCTTGCGTTGGCCTTAAAACCTGGGTTCCATTTTCCATACACAAGAAACTGTTTGAGGATATGTTGCCTGAAACTGAAACTGTAGATTCATATTCATAGCTGTATGAAAACAGGAAAAACATGTTTATGTCAAGGAGATAATGAGGACAATGTGGCAATGTACAGGTTATTAACTCCTGTTTCCCTTATGGCACAACATCCAAATCCAATAAAAATGTCTTTTCATCTTTGCCACTCTATTATATCATGAATTAAGAGCATCAAAAAATACTTGCTCACATTAAATGTGTAATCTTTTTATAATTGCCTTACAATTATTTGCATGTGAGTAATCTGTCTTTAGATTATCTAATATCAGCCTTCTGTGATTTTTAGGTAGTCATATCTTAGAAATAATTGCTGTCAGATAAGGAAAGAAATTTTAAAAAAATAAGTCTTAATAAAATATAATTAAGAAGACAGACTTTGGAGGAAATAAAAACACACAAAAACAAGTCTCCAACTTTGGATTCTCTAAGGTTTGCTTATAAGAAGCATGGCCCCCACTTTCTGAGAATCCTTACAATAATTCCTCCATGTGTTTAATAAATCCCCAAGAAAAACAAAGTATTTGCCCATTGTCATGAAAGACCTTAGGAGAATCTCAATCGCCATGACAGAATAATATAATGACTTTTTCTCTTCTCATAAGAATGAAAGGATCAATCGGCAGTGACCATTTAACTTAAGGAAATTATCACACAATCCACATATCCTTTCTCAGAAAATAAGTTACAGGCTGCAAGAATGGAGAAAATATGAACAACTGAGTCTCTCTTTGTTAGAAATTATGCTGGATTGCCTTCAGTGTTTCTATTAGATAAGAAGATGCCAAAAGAAAACTTGTCCTTCTGGGTTCCACAAGAGCTAAAGAGTACTTGAATGCCATCAATAGTTCTTATTTCTGTGCTACAGGATATAATAAAATGGATCAAAATACCTTCCCCCTATTACAATTGCCCAGTGATGCCCACAGAGTTTGGCTGTGAACTGTGGACAAAGATTTCTATCTGTCTCTATGTTCATGACCCTGTAAGGTAGGACAACCTCAGAGAAATAACACCTTTAGCAGATGGTGGAAAGAAATGTAAATGACAGCTGAATATTACTTGACATTGTCTTAAGTCAGATGATAATAAAAGTACAGTAAAAACTCTTTGCCGAGAAGCTCCTGATCCCTTCAAAAATACTTACAAAGATTAAATACTTTTGTTTATTTAATTTATCCACTTAAAATCTAATAACTCAAAGTCCATTCATTACCAAAATACTAGCAAAATGGCAGCAAACTCATTTTAAACAGAAAAGAAAAAGACATAATTCCACAAGGTTAAAGAGAATGAGAAATTTGACAATAAGAGAGAATCCAACAAGATTTTTAAAATGAGAAGGTAGATAAGTGAGTGGTCACTGAATCAGAAGATGTGAGAAACTCAACCATAAGTGCCTGCAAGGAAGCAGTCAAACACATGCCTCAAATCCCTGGAAAGTTTCAGGCAAGATACTTACAAATGCCGGGCTTGGTGGCTCAGTCTGTAATCCCGCACTTTGGGAGGCTGAGGTGAGTGAATTGCCTGAGCCTGCGGGTTCGAGACCCGCCTGGGCCGCCTGGCGTGCCCTCATCTCTACAATGAATCAAAAAAATTAGCCAGGCGTGGTAGCGCGTGCCTGTAGTTCTGGCTACTTGGAAGGCTGAGGCGCAAGGATCACCGGAGCCCAGCAGGTCGAGGCTGCGGTGGCTGGGAGCAGCCACTGCACTCCAGTCTGGGTGACAGAGTGAGACTCCAACTCAAAAAAAAAAAAAAAGAGATACTTATAAATGCAAAAGTGAGCATGATCCAAAAAACAGAAAAGTTTAAACACTTTGATTTGAAGTTTATTTAAGGAACAGTTAGACTCCCAGAGACATCCCTGTCACTCCAACTGAAAACATCCATTGATTCTAGACAGGCACATTGACGATAGGGAGGCCATACTAAAAGCTGAGGATATTAAAGAAAAAAAGCGACATTCCCATTCCTACCTGTCTGGTAGCCAAGTTTCTACATTCCAAGTAAGAGACTGAAAAATCCCTGTCTAGAACAACTATAAATAAACAATTCTGAACCATTTATAAAACAACTGGTCTCTATGCCCTCACTCTATAAAGAAGTCTTCTATTAGCCGAGTCCTACACACACACGCAGAACTTCCAGGTAGCTTGCTGTTGTTATTCCTTCCTCTAAAATATGAATAGATAAACCAAGGATGAATGAAGCCTCTAACAGTAAAGACAGAGATAAACAAACAAAAAACTGTGCATTTGAAAGAGCCAGAGAAAATGAAGACAGATGAAGAAAACTTAAATAGGAAAAGACAGTGCATTCTTGTAAGAATGATAAGATGTTCCTAAAAAAAGAGACATTCAAAGTATGAAAAAAGTTCTTGAAAATTAAAAATGTGATACACAAGCTAGAAAGCCATTCAAAAGCTTGAAAGATAAAGCTAAACATCCAAGAAAGTAACAAGAAGACAAGAAAATAGAAAGTTAGAGATAAAAGATATGAAAAACCCAAACATAATCTAGAATTCCAATATTCAAGTAGTAGAAGTTCTAGAAAGAGAAAACAAAAAAATATTTGGGGTGTGAGGGAGATATTATCAAAGAAATAGAACATACGAGTCCAAACTGAAGGTACCTAGCACAATGAAGAAATAAATTTATACCAGTATGATTATCATGAACTTTGGACTTGAGATGAAAAGAAAATCCCAATCATTTCCAAATAAAGAAAACTTACCATAGAGATTACAATGGCATTGAATTCTCAATAATAATATTCGGTGCTAGGAAAATTAGAAAAATGTCCAAAATCCCTAGGGAAAATATTTTCAATCTAGAATTTTACCCTGGCTGAACTATCACTCAAGTGTGGGAGTAAATCAGAATATTTTCAGATGTAGAAAGTGCTACATTTTATACTTCCCTTGAGCACTTTCAAGAAGGCTATTGATTATTATCTCCATAAAAAGAAGCAAGAGTAAAAAAGAAAATAGATGTGACACCCAGAAAATAAATAACTGAATGTAAGAAAGAGATAAAAAGCAAATTCCCAAGGATAATAATGAGAAAAAATTCCAGAAAATGGTAATACAGCAGGTCAAGAGAGTTCCCAGTTCAGATTGCAGATGGAGAACTGAAGATTTTATGAGAAGTATTCCAAAGACAAAAGTGATGCCCTCTGATGTGGATAAGTTTCTTGAGAGGACATTTGTCTTACCAGTGGGAAGTTTGATGATGAATTAGTGAGAAATACAAAGAAGCTAATCAAATGGAAAAAAACTGGGTTATTATTTCTAGTTTCTGACTTGAAGTTAGAGATGCGCGGCTCTTGCTTTCACTTGAGCACTTAGAAGCCATTGTAGGGTTATTAATTGTCCTAATTTCAATGTTGTTGTGTCTCAGAAAATAGAGAGGCCCAAGGAGAGGGAAAGAGATGGGGAAATGGCTGATGTGGAGCACTCAGACCACATACAATATTTATTGAAAAAGTTCACTGTATTATAAGAGGTGGTTTGTGGCACCTCAAAAGAATTACAATGCTAACACCAAAAACCACTGATTACAGATCACCATAACAGAGCTAATAATAATGTAAAAGTTTTAAATATTATCAGAATTACTAACATGTGCCACAGAGATACAAAGTGAACATATTTTGTTTTTTAAAAATGATGTCAATAGGCTTACTTGATGCAGGGTTTCCACAAACCTTCAATTTGTAAAAAAAAAAAAAAAAAAATTGTGTACATAAATGCTTTGGTAAAAATCAAATTAAAAATCAGCCTTCAGATTTGCCTGTCTCTTGGTGACCTACAATTAAGCAGCATCTCATTGTAATTAGAAGTCTCTAGATAATCCTGAGAAGGAGAAATTCCATCTTTTCACTGGTCCTACTTTTCCATCAGACTTAACTCCATGAATGAAATGTCCCAAATCTCTACTGTATAAATTGGCAAAATGTGACTTCCTAAGTGGAAGTGAGACAGCCAAGACCCCAAAACAGACTGAAGGAACAGAATCTGTGTCTTCCCATTCCTATTACAGTGCTTGGTGCTGTTTGAAAACATTGCTTCTAGAGAGGAAAGAACAAGCTTCATTTCCTGCAGGTGAAATTGAATCTAAAAATCATCAAAGACTGGAATACTTACTGATTCATGAGGAAATGAGGTAGTGACTTTAAGAAACACCCTAGGCCCATAAACACACATCCGACACCAATCATTATAGGTCTATGCAGTTTGGTTCCAAAATAACTCACAAATATAATCAACAAAAGATTTCCTAGGAAAAAGTAGAGAATACTTATTTCAATAAGTATAAACAAAGTCTTAATTAACAGCCTCACACAATCATTTACATTCTAGTATTTATTGCATAGCAACTATCTTAAATACTGGGATTTGTTCTGGGGATGCATTAAACATAAATGAGTAAGACACAATCTCTGCCCTGAAGGGCTTTGTTTCGCAATGTAGATGTACACATAAACAGATATCTATGGAGCATGAACATATTTTTAAAAAGAGAAGAGAAGTCAGTGAAAAAGATGAAATAATGGTTCTGGGATTATCTAAACTTGTGAAATGATATGCAAAAGTAAGTACAGTATCAGCTTGCATATGACCTCTCTCTCCATGCCTGCTTCACAGAACACATAATGTCTTCTTGCGTTCAAAAAGAGAAGCAAAAGTCAATTTGAGATCGGCATGTGTTTTGCAACTTATTAATTCAAAGATAAACTTATATTGTTCAAGATGACCAAGTCAGGAATCTATTTTTATTTCTACTTCTTTCCTTAGATTAGATAATGTAGTTAAGCTTTTTTAAAAAAGTAAATCCTCACTTCTCCTACTATGTCTCAAGCAAATCAGGATTTGAGGAGTAAATATGTCAATGAAAAATTTACCCCCATATCTTAAGATAAAGAAACTAATTGGAGCCGGGCTCGGTGGCTCACCCTGTAATCCCGCGCCTTTGGGAGGCTGAAGGGAGTGGATTGCCTGAGCTCGTGGGTTCAAGACCCGCCTGGGCAGGCGAGTCTCTACAATAAAATAAAAAAATTAGCCGGGCGTGGTAGTGCACGCCTGTAATTCCAGCTACTCAGAAGGCTGAGGCGGAAGGATCGCCGGAGCCCAGCAGGTCGAGGCTGCGGTGGCTGGGAGCGGCCACTGCACTCTGGTCTGGGCAACAGAGTGAGACTCCAACTCAAAAAAAAGAAACTAATTGGAGATGGACAGGCCCTTGAAGAGTATGCAGTAAAGGGCTGAAAAGCCCAAATAAATGAGTAAGTTATTTGCAAACCATGCATTTTTTTAAATTCAAAAAATAATATCTACCCTGCTCCTGTCATATGTAAGGGAAGTCTCTATGATGACTCAAGATGATAAAAATTTCAAAAATGTGTTTCCTCAAGAAAGTAGTAATTTAATAAGTGATGTGGTATATTTTGAAGAGCTTTCTTCAAATCTCTCTTTCTAATCTGCCTTGTACGGAGGCAAGATGCCAGCCTGTATATTATATAATGATGAGTGCCCCCTCCTCTTTAGCTACAGCAGCCATATTGACCTCTGTAGGTTTTTTAAATTCCATCATCAAAGCCAATCATGTTGAAGGTAGTGTCTCCAGAGACCACTGGTTGAAATGCATAGCTATTTTTGAAAAAATAAAGAAGGAATTTTCCCTCTTCACATAAAAGTGAGTTCATCTTTCATATTGCCTTGCTCTGTCAGTAAAATAATCACCATGAGAAAAGATGGGGAAAGATGTAAGTTTTTGTCAGGGGCATGCAAAATGCTGCCTGTAAAAGTGACTGGGAAAATGTAATACTAAGTGATACTTTTATTGGCATCTATACATTTCCTCTCCCCACCCTCAACACTATTTCAGATCTTCATCATTCTCCTCAAGCCACTTACCACCACCCACTAGTGGTAGAAATAGTTACTAGTGTTTTTTGTTTGTTTGTTTTTGTTTTTTGTTTTGTTTTCATTTTGAGTCTCACTCTGTCGCCCAGACTGGAGTGCAGTGGCCGCTCCCGGCCACCGCAGCCTCGACCTGCGGGGCTCCGGCGATCCTTCCGCCTCAGCCTTCTGAGTAGCCGGAATTACAGGCACGCGCTACCACGCCCAGCTGATTTTTTATTTATTGTAGAGATGATATCTCGCCGGGATGCCCAGGCGGGTCTCAAACCCGCGGGCTCAGGTAATCCACTCACTTCAGCTTCCCAAAGCGCGGGTTACAGGCTGAGCCACCGAGCGCAGCTACTAGTGTTTTATTTTTTCATGAAATTTGGGGCAATCAAACAAGAAGGCATCTGAGTTTTCCATCCTATGGCCTTACCACCTTCCTTCAGTTTAAAGGGCTGTGGTAGCCATCTGACCATCCAACACCCAACACACCACCTGGGTACTGTCATTTTTTTCCTAGCAATTTACTCCAGAAATTAAAGCCTCCTATATATATTTTCAGCTTCTTCCTTGCTGCTGAACTTTATTCTACAGATATTCTCTAGTTTCTTTCCAAACTTCTCAGAACATTCATCTATAATCACAGATTTCCATTTTTCTCCTCTTAGTCTCTCCTAGAATCAGTGCTATCTCCTCTGCTTTCTAGTTTCTAAAGCTGCTAAAACTGAAAGTTTCCTGGCAAAGGACATCAATTATCTCTATTATGAAACTCAGGAAATTATTTTTTATCCTTATCTAACTAGATATTTTAAATTTTTTGACACTGTTGATATGTGTTGGTTTTTTTTTTTTTAGTAAATTTTGGGGGTTTCTACACCATTCTTTCCAGGTTCTTCTCTTATTTCTCTGACCATTCCTTTTCTTAACACCTCATGGGATCCTTTACTTCTATCTGTACCTTAAATATCAATATAAATATTGATAAATTTCAAAGATCTATTTTCTGTCCATTGCACTCATCACCCTATATCTTCTCCCTGAATAACCTCATCTACTCTCTCTCTCTAGTTTTAACAAGCACCTATTTACTCACTTATCAATAGCTCCAGCGCAGATAGTTCTCTAGCGTTTCAGACTCACATAATTACAACACAGACATATAATTTTGGCACTGATTGTCACCAATAGAAGTTACAGCTATTTGCAGATTACATTATGGTTGGTGGAAACACCTTAGAATATTGACACTAATAATTACTTGAAAATTAGTACTATATTTTATTTAATGTGTTGAGTACAAATATTGCTATATGACAAGTTGTTTTAGTATTTTGATAAATCTATTTCAATATAATTGGCTTCCGTTGTACCCATGTAATTTTTATTTTATGCAATTAAGATTATTATCCTGAGATAATATAGCATAAGATTGCCAAAGGGGTCCTTGCACAGAAAGATTAATGACTCCTTCCAATCTTTAGTGACCCTCCCTCACTTAGAGGATAAAAAGATAACTCTATAGCAAGAACACTAAAGTGTCCATGGCCCATTTCTCACCCCTGCCCATTTCTTTAGGCTCATGTTCTAAGAATTTCCACCTTAATCTTGGATAGCCAATAATATTGGGTTGAATGTTGTTCCCCACAGAGGCTATTATGTTGTCTCACCTTCCTGCTTCTTCTGTCAGAATTCCTTTTACATATACCTAACCCTATTTCTATAACTGGAAAACTTTTATTTATCTTTTAGTAGTCTGTCTTCCCTAAGTGAGGATTTATCCCCTCTTCTCTTTCTATAGGAATGTATATATATTCAAACTTACTGCATTCAATTAAAATTATTATTTACATCTATATTGTCCGTTAGACTGTAAGATAAATCTATGCAAAGACTATATAAGAAGTTAGTTTTAACTCCATTGCCAGAATCTAGCATACAAGTGGAACTAAGATCTGAGGGAGGGAAATAGTAGGAGACAAGATGAAACATCACCTATTTCAGTTCTGCCTTTCCTCAACCCTGATTTTTCTTTCAAATACTGGTTAAATAAATTAAAGACAATTTTCACCTTGAAGAAAGTAGAAGCTAGTATAAAACTAGAAAGGAGTCACACTCATATTTCTATACAGCTTTGTTCATGCAAGTCTTTATTTCCCTCATTCACTTTCCCTCACATATTTCCAGTCATACACAAAAATCAGAACCTAAGAGTAGACTTTATTCTTCCCTAGAGGCTACTTTTGAAATAAATCCAGGGAGACAAGAAAGCAAACTTTTTTCTTCTCTCTGAACTTAGAAAAGAGAATTGTCTACTTTTAGGACACAATAGAAGAAAAAACGTTTGCATTTCAATTGTAAAACAAATACTTTTGATCCCCATAATATCTTCTAAATACAAAGGCAAAGCCCCTAGTTTCCTTTAGGGTTATCAAATGATAGATTTAAATATAGACACTGCAAATACTCTGCCACTCATGCTAGATAACCCAGAATCTCTCAAAATAAAAAGGACAGTGGTGGAACATATGGCAATATTTAGGTGTTATTTTGGGGTGATATATCAATGAATTGTTTCTTAGCATATTCCAAGTTTAGTCATGCTATTTAATCAGTTTCAGAAAACATAACTCAAATTAAATGGTCTAAAGCAGCAAATAATGAGAATAAAGTTCAAACTAGTTACTTAGATAAGACAAAATACAAAAAGAAGTGTAAAAATAATTCATTACCAATTTCAAAGCTTCCATTAATAAATCCAACTAGAGATGTCGGGATGTTGAATTGTCTCTCTATTTGTGTGAGCATGGAATTCATATAAGATCCAGATAGTGTTTTGGATACATATGCACATGTTATTGCCAACAGAAACATCTAGAGAAAAATATTAGAAAACATAGAAAAATTTATTGTAAAATTGTATATTTGTCATCTGTTGAAAAAATATCTTCTACGTAAGATTGGTTGTCTCCAACTTAAGTAACCTTTGAATTTGCATGAAATTTTACAATGTGGTTCTTCTTATTTGTAATGGTGAGTTTTCTCTCTGAAAACTCAAAGTTAGAGTAATTTCATAAGTAGTTGTAGCCTCCACAATATGTTATAAGCATACCTTGAATATACATAGAAACGTTCATTCTAAGAAAGATATAGCCAATGATTCAAATAGGTCTTCAGCACTACAACACTTTCTATCCTTACATAGACTTTAATGGAAAGAAAAAATATAGGATTACACAAAGACATTGTTTTTGTAGCAAATTTGTTTAAGTTCTCTCTGCAGGAAAATAGGTCCCCAGATGACCTTGGCCAAGCCCACACTTTCCCTCTTTTGCTTGTTATTCTTGGGTAAAATTAACTGAGAATTCAACATTCTGCACTCTTAAAAAATGGAGGAAATGTCCAGGACAATCTGAGCTATGTCTTCATTCATTCAGTAAGGTGCTCTGCAACACTTGAGTTCAGCGATCTCGGGGTATAGAAACCAAGGCTAGAGTGTTTTCAGGGATCCTCAACCGCAATGCAAATAAGGCTCCATCCACTCTGGGCATCTTTCCTGAGCCTTGGGGGATCAGCTCACTTCAATTCTTTTTTCTTTTTCCTTTTATTTATTTATTTATTTATTTTAAAGATGTGGGGTATAATTCAGGGTTAAGTATATAAATGTTCATTATGCAGGTACCCTTGCATGCCCCTGGGAAAAGGGGGAGGTATGCCCCCCCTTTTCCCAGGCAGATTCCCACTACTGCCAATCTCACTTCCCCACCTCTCTCCCGGCAGTTTCCCACTATTGTCAATCATTCTCTTATAGTATTACGATAATTGTTCAATGTCCGCTTATGAGTGAGAACATGTGATACTCAGTTCTTTGTTTATATTAAAGATTACTCAGTATTATAGACTCTAAATCCGTCCAGATTGCCGTGAAGTTCATGATTTTGTTCTTCTTTATGACTGTGTAATATTCCATCATGTATATGTATCGCATTTATTTTATCCAGTCCTCTTTTGATGGGCAGCACGGTTGGTTCCATGTTCTTGCTACTGTGAACAATGCTGCAATAAACATATGTATGCAGGTATCTTTTTTATAGAGTGATGTGAGTTCTTCTAGGTAGATTCCCAGAAGGGGGATTGCAGGGGCTTATGGAAGGTCGATTTTTAGACCTTTTAAGAATCGCCACACTGTTTTCCACAGAGGCTCCCCTAGTTTACATTCCCAACAGCAGTGTAGAAATCTTCGCTTTTGGCCACATTCTCTCCAGCATCTGTTGATTTTTTAGTTATTGATGATAACCATCCTGACTGGAGTTAGGTGGTACCTCAGTGTAGGTTTAACTTGCATGTATTTGATGACTAGTGAGGCTGAGCAGTTTTTCATGTATCTGTTGGCTCCTTGTATGTATTCTTTTGAGAACTGTCTATTCATATCTTTTGCCCACTTTGTAATGGGGCTTTTTTTTTTTCTTTTCAGCACATTTGAGTTCCTTGTAGACCCTAGATGTTAGGCCTTTGTCAGACAAACAGTTGGCAAATATTTTTTCCCAATCTGTGGGCTGTCTCCCCGTTCTTTTGGTGGTTTCATTGGTCAATATCCTTGATGAACATTGATGCTAAAATTCTCACCAAGAGCCTAGCAAATCGGATTCAACAACACATCTCAAGAATCATCCATCACAACCGAATAGGCTTCATTCCCAGAATGCAGGGCTGATTCAACAATTGTAAAACCATAAACGTAATTAAATACATCGACAGATGTAAAAACAAAATCTACATGATTATATCAGTAGATGTGGAAAAAACTATTGATAAAATCTAGCGCCCTTTCTTGATAAAAACTCTCAAACATCTAGGCATAAATGGAATATACCTCAAAATAGTAAGAGCCATCTACAAGAAACCTACAGCCACTGTACTGCTAAACAGACAGAAATTGGAGCCATTTCCACTGAAAACCGGAACAAGATAAGGATGCCCATGCTCACCCCTCTTTTTCAACATAGTTTTAGAAGTCCAAGCTAGAGCAATCAGAAAAGAGAAGGAGATCAGCGGTATCCAAATAGGAAAAGAGGAAGTCAACTTGTCTTTCTTTGAAGATGACATGATTCTATATCTCAAAAACCCAAGAGAATTTGTCAAAATCTCCTTGTACTGATAAAGGACTTTGGCAAAGTCTCAGGGTATAAAATCCATGTGCAAAAGACAGTTGCATTTCTATACACCACCAACAAACAAACAGAAACTCAAACAAAAAGCACAATCCCATTCACAATACCATAAAAAATATATATATATCAAATATCTTGGCATCTTCCTAACCAGAGACATGGAAGACCATTACAATGAAAACTAGAAAACACTGCTCAAAAATATCAAAGATGACACAGACAAATGGAAAACTATTCCATGCTCATAGATTGGAAGAATCAATGTTGTTAAGATGTTTAACCAACACCCATTAAACTGCCAGCAGCATTCTTCTCAGACCTGGAAATGACAATACCCAAATTCATATGGAAACATAAATGACCATGAATCGCCAAAACAATCCTCAGAAGAAGAAAAAAAAGACAAAGCAGGAGATATCACACTTCCAGACTTTAAACTTTGTTATAAAGCTACAATAATCAAAACAGCCTGGTATTGGTATAAGAACAAGCATAGAGACCAATGGAACAAGATAGAGATTCCAGAAGCTAAACCTCAATTTCTCAACCAACTCATCTTCAACAAAGTCTCCACCCAATGGAGACAGGAGAACCTATTCAGTAGATGGTGCTGGGAAAACTGGCTGACCACATGCAGAAGAAAAAACAAGATCCCTACCTATCACCATACACAAAGATCAACTCTAAATGGATCAAAGACCTAAATGCAAAACCTCAAACTATAAGAACCTTAGAAAATTCAGGAGATACCCTTATGGAAATTGGAACTGGCAACCGATTCCTGATCAAAACCCCAAGTGCCCATACCATAAGAGATAAGAAAGACAAGTGGGAGCTCATCAAACTGACATGCTTAAACTCTTGATTCTGTTTATTCTTGCTTTTTACCTAATATTCATACTACAAAATTTCCATATGTTGAACATATCACATTTCCTATATATTGAAATACTTTCAGAACACAATAAGGTTGATGCAATCCATGACAACATCAACGGTAACTTAACAAATAGAATGATTTTGATCACCAGGCGCAAGTATGATTTTACTAAAAAAATGAAAGTTAAAATTCTGATAGACTTATTAAATCAGAAAAAAAACTTAGCTTTTAATAAGAAATTTTAAAACAGAAGAATTGAATACTAGAAATAGTATAGTTGGATAGATTAATTACTGCTTCAAAATCAAATTATAGATAGATTTATGTAAACTTAAATTGTGGTCTCCAATCATATATGTCTTACAGATTATTTCTTGGCCTATTAAAGATAGTTTCTGATGGCACACATATCCTGGGATACCACTGGACATACTCTCAAGCCAACACATTCAAATTCCTAAAATCTTCACCTCTCACACTTTCCACACCCTTAGTCTCGAGTCAACCACACAATTTATTTTCTACCTCACACATCCCCTTCAAGATTATTCTGTTTCCCGGTCTCCAGTCCAGCCACATGTTCTTTATGATCAGCAAATGATATCAGAAATGTTACCTGCAAACTTACCTCTATCCCTGACCCTTGAAATTTGCCTATAGCTTATTTATTTACTTATTTATTTGAGTTGGAGTCTCACTCTGTCGCCCAGACTGGAGTGCAGTGGCCGCTCCCGGCCACCGCAGCCTCGACCTGCTGGGCTCCGGCGATCCTTCCGCCTCAGCCTTCCGAGTAGCCGGAATTACAGGCATGCGCTACCACGCTGATTTTTGATGTATTGTAGAGATGAGGTCTCGCTGCCCAGTCGGGTCTCGAACCTGCGGGCTCAGGCAATCCACTCACCTCAGCCTCCCAAAGGCGCGGGATTACAGGCTGAGCCACCGAGACCGGCTGCCTATAGTTTAGAACAATAGATGTCTCTTCTACTGTGCAATGAAGTCCCTCCACTCATGCTCTTGAATCCATTCTTCCTATTTCTGAGATTCTAACCCATCAATTATTGCTCCTTCTACTCTATTTTAATCTCACACACTGTACTGCTTCTCTCCCCACATGTCTATTAATATAGTCAAGGTACTTATGTCTTTAAAAACAAAAACAAAAACTTTCTCTCAGCCCTGATGGTAGCTACTCTAGCTACCATAAATCTACTTGGAAGGAAAGTCTTGACTCATTGCCTACACTATTTAACCTTCCGTTCACCTTTCAGCCTGTTAACAGGTGGTGTTCTCTGAAGCCACTCCATAAAAGGTCATATATAACTTCCTGATTTTCAAATCCACTAGCTACTTATGAGTCATCAGCTTACTCTATGTCTCTGAGTCATTCCATACCATTAATATCTCTTATTCCTGAAATTCCCTCCCTCAATGCCTTTTACATGATGTCCTTTCACTTACAATACCTTTCTTCTTCTTTTATACTTGTAAATATATAATCAATTTTCAAGACTCAGTTCTTCCATCATTTCCATTGTGAAGACTTCCTTGTCTTTTATTTCCAGGTAGTCTTGATCATTCATTCCTACTATGTACCTACCTCTATTATAGTCCTTATCACAGTGCACTTTATTTATGTTTGGATGACTGTAACTTCCTCTCTCATTATACTTTAAACAATTCATAGATAGGAACCATATATTATTTACCTTTGTGTCTTTGGTGCCTAGTAAGTGCCTGACAAATAGTAGGTACCAATACAAGTTTACTGAATTAATGACAGAATATCAAAAACATCTTGAAGAAGCCAGAACTGAAAGTAAGATGAAATATATTAGGATTCATTACACTGGCTTAGTTCATTTGCGCTGCTATAACAGAATACTGTAAGCTGGGTGATTTATAAACAGCAAAACTTTGTTTCTGAAAGTTCTGGAGGTTGAAAAGTCTAAGATTAAGGTACTAGCAAATTCGATGTCTGATGAGGGCCTACATACTGGTTCATGGACAGTCATTTTTTCACTGTGCTTTCACATTGCAGAAAGGGCAAAGAAACTCTCCTATTTCTTTTATAAGGGCACTGAATCCATTCATGAAGTTTCCACCCCTTTAACCAAATCCCTCCCAAAGCCCACACTTTCTACTACAATTATATTTTAGAGGCTACGATTTCAACATATGAATTGGGTGAATTGGGCGGAGGGGTACACAAACATTCAGATCACAGAATACACCTAAAACAAAAGTGATCTGTATCAACAAATTTGAGAAACTCTAAATAAAAATTTAGATGGAAAAAAAAATCTAGAAATTTGAACAGCAACTTTAGTATGAGTCAAAACGAGTCAAAACTATGATATGGTGACAAGATAAAATAGCTGTATCTCTATTTATCTTCTATATTAAATACCATTTGTGGAATGTCTCTCTTCCCACTACAAAACTTTGCAGAGCATATTATTGAGAGTAAATAATTTTCATGTGGTTTTGTAATTCCGGTTTTATAATTAAAAACAAGAACCACTAAATCAAGTACAAATCAGATTTGGGAAAATAATTTATTTGATTTAACATTTTAAGAAAGGAAATATATGAATCATGACCTCAACACTTTTGCCCTAAAACACCAAGAAGTGTTGACTAAATTATTTGATTCTGTTCACAGAGTAAAAGAAATCAGTGACTATCCTGACTTTTGTCCAGTGCTAAATAATTTATATATTTATTTATAGAGCTAGCCAGACTAGCTTTTAACAATAATGCCCTTTAAACTCTATTTTTACAATAAAGTTTGAAGCAAATTTGTTGTGGACAGTTCTTTTATGCTGTCTAAATATTTTTGCTTAATGAATAGATTTCTTTTTTATATGTTTTTTATTTTTAAAGATGTGAGGTACAATTCAGGGTTAGGTATACAAATGTTCATTATGCAGGTACCCCCATCCCCTGGCAGATTCCCAGAAGCAAAGGAACTTGATTAGAAATTGTCTCTCACTTTCACCTGATGAAATTGTGCTTGCAATATTTTGTCATACATTCACATCAATATCTAATCTTGCTAAGCCCCAAAATGATCAAAAATTAAATTTAAAACCTATTTTTGTAACATCCGACTTGACTTTTATCCACAAATTCTATTAATAATAATGCTAATGCTTTTTGAATGTTTAATATATTCCAGTCATTGTTTCAGGCATTAAAAAGTCCTATGAGGTGGAAATATTGTTATTACCCTTTTCAGATGAGAAAACTGACGCACAAAGAAGTTAATCAGCTTATTCAGTGTCACACCGCAAATAAGTAAATAAGCAGCTGAACTCACAAGGGAACCCAGAAAGCCTGAACCCAGATCCTTATTTTTAACTACTCACTACAGGAGAAGGACATTAGAATTAAGAGATTATTTAGGGGAAACTTGTATTTATTTTTATAATTAATCCAGCATTTCAGGCAAAAGTAGTTTTCTTGATTTATATCATAATTCTCTAATTTTGTGCACATGTATAGATTTCTCCTACACATACATACGTGAAAAACAAGCTTCTGATTGGGATAAAATGGGCAGCAGTGTCTTAGTTTGGAAACCACTTGCAGGCACTAGCTGTAGAATCACGAAAAATCCCCAGATCCCTTGGTTTACAATATATTCAAATTTTGTTTGAATGTCAAATGACTTTGATTATAAAAAGAGAATTTTCTGTGAAATAGTCAAAACCACCAGAACAGCTGACAAAATGGGCATTTTTCTTGTAAGGAATGATTGTTAAGTTGCCAAAGCTTGAAGAAAACTTTTGTTTTACTGGGTCACTGCGAAGTAATCTTTTCATACAAATCAACAAAGTATTTATGTCCAATAAGCCATTTTCCAAGAATGACCCCCACATTTCTCTGGGTTAGAAGCCCTGCAAGGGTGAGCATTAAATTTGCCTTTGATCTAGAAAAATAAATTCTGCCACAGTATAATGTGTACCTAAAACTTTTTAAGATTCTGTCTTCCATTTAAGCCCCTCAAAACGATTTCTGATTAAATTACCTAAATCAATAATCCTATTTAGACACACCCTCTCTTATAAAAACTTCTTTAAAGTAAGAAATTATCCATAGTTCAGATAGCATGACATTAATATTAGATCACCATATAGAGATAAAAAATTTTACAAGGACTGTTCAGTTCAGGTTTAAAAAATAGTGTACATGCAAATATATCCACAAAAAGTTCCATACCTTCAGCTTGGAAAGACATCTTACTCTATGGGTTTCAATTCTTTTCTCAGTTTCTCCCATGTTGCTCTTCTGAGTATTCCAAGGTATTTATGTTTTAAAGCTTGATATATTTTAGTTCTACCCTTTTAAGAAAATAAAAATCTGTTAATGACAAAATCATTATTCTTTTGAAGAAAGTACTGAATCTGAACAACAGTAATTGAAATCCATTGTATTACAAAAATACCTGGGAAGTTTTTGTTACGGACTAGAAAATGATGGCTTTAGAGACTAGTTGTTGATTTTCTATTGAAAAAGTTACTTCAAATAACGTTAGTTACTCTTTAGTGAGATGAAAGATATCAGAGTAATTTGTTATGATTCCCTTGCAAAATAATGACCACATGGGTAAAACAAAGCTTTTCAACTCTTTAGCCAAAACAAATAGAACCAAAGTGAGCTCCTTGGACTTACATGAAACTAGCTACTCTTAATAACACAGAGACTTTGATTAGTGTTTGTGCTAAAAATCTGCTTCAGCAATCCTACCAAGGCTCAAAAATCTCTACTTGGCGGGGTTCCTTCTTAAGTTCTTTGCATTCCAAGATTTCCCTGGAGTCTCAGGAAGGGAAACAATTTCTGGGGCACTGATGATTCGCGGAAACCTGGGGAGATTTGGAATTTTAATCATGGATGTAGCCTAAGTAGAAATAACAAACAATTCTCTGATCTGGAAAAGAATACTACAATTTCAAGTTGAGATATAAGATTTTGGAGGAAATCAAACATATAAATGGAGATCTGTGTGTAGCTATAGGTAATAGGTATAGATATTAATATATGTAGATCTACATGTATGTATACTATGTAGGCACACATTTTTATATGTAAAACAAAAAATTGGCTTAAATGCCACTAAATTCTACTAAATCCTTGACAAATATTTTATTTTGTGTCTTGAGACTAGAACAATATTTTGTGTCAAAACAAGTATTTCACTTTGACAAGTTATTCTAGCTGCCAGAATGACATTTTAACAGCATGTCTAGCATTAATTAATTAGAATCCTATAAAAAATATGTATTCAACAAGTGATTTTGAATGGCACAACTTTTTTTTTTTCTTTTTTTTTTTTGAGTTGGAGTCTCACTCTGTTGCCCATACTGGAGTGCAGTGGCCGCTCCTGGCCACCGCAGCCTCGAACTGCTGGGCTCCGGCGATCCTTCCGCCTCAGCCTTCCAAGTAGCCGGAATTACAGGCATGCGCTACCACGCCCGGTTAATTTTTTTAATTTATTGTAGAGATGAGGTCTCGCTGCCCAGGCGGGTCTCGAACCCGCGGGCTCAGGCAATCCACTCACCTCAGCCTCCCAAAGGCGCGGGATTACAGGCTGAGCCACCGAGCCCGGCTGGCACAACTTTTTAAAAACATAATTGTCTCACATCTACAAATGTGCTGAATCCCAGACACACACATTAAGGCAATAGCCACTTCACAATTACGTGTTAGTTTAGTTTTCTTTACTCATTCTCTCACAGACACAAAAAAATTTATTGAAAGTATACCAGGTGCCAGTTATTGTGCTAAGCACCAGAATTTAGCAGTGAACAATACAGGCAAGCTGTCCTATGAATAAAAAATATATATATTATAATTATGTTTCTATGGGAGAAATTTGGACCCAGATCCCAAGGAACTTATACTTTTATTGGGAAAGCTAAAACTTTTAAATAAAACACATTGGAATAGAATCAAACTGTGTATGATGAAATATGCCTTGTTTGGTATATAGATTATCATTGAAAGTTATAGAGACACTCTTGGCAATTCTAAATACATATGAACTCATGCTGCAATCTTCCAACATAAAATTCCAAATCACCTCAACAATAGTGCAAATACATCACACTGGTTTTGGGAAACGGATAGAATGGGATAACTTTTCAAAAGAGTAGAAACTGGTATACTTTAATTATACTATACCAAATGTAGTTTAATCATAACCCTCTCAACTGCTCTCATTTATTTCTTCTCTTGCATTTGAACTCAATCTCTCTCCTCTATTTTTCTTCCTTCTATCCCATCTTGCCATTATTTTAGCCCAATATAGTCATCCTATCAAGCAATAAGAGAAGTAACTTCTTTCTCTCCCATGTCAAAATTGTCTTCACTCTTTTAAAGTGACTAAAAACTGACTATTCTAAATATCTATTTTTCATATGCAGTTAGAGGGCCTAGAAACTAGAATTACTATCACAGAAAAACGCATAGAGGAATTCTATGCCCTTCTTCCCATGAAACGTGCCACTAAATAACCATCTAGAGCAGGTTTTATCACTATGTCTTGAAGATTTGTTCAAAATGTTCTTACTGTATTGAGAGATGTCTTGACTGAAGTAAGAGGTAGAATTTAAAGCTAGGTACTTGAAAATAATTAAATATGATTAAATTAACCATAAACCTTCCCAAATTTGTCAACCTATACAGTGAAAACATATTTTCAGATACATGTTAAAAGTTTTCAAGGAGAAAAATAAATAAGTGAATGAAGAAAATATATTCCATTTATTCAGCAAAATCCATGAAATCCAATAGTTAATGTTGCAGTCATTGTTGACCACTTTGGCTCCAAAACAGGAAACTGTGTGTGCTGTTTCTTCATCTCCTGGAGGCTGTGGGAGTGCCAGTCATGTAAACAGTCCCCTTTTGTTAGCACAGTTTTGTTTACACAGTGACTTCTGCTCTCAGGACCACATAGCATCTCTGACAAATCCGTATCAATCATCACTGCTAATGAAATGACTACTGAAGCTTTATTAATTAGAGAATCATTTTATTTCTCGAACCGCTTCTCAGCATTCAAATGGAAACAGGTAATGCTTCTGTAAGCTTTCTCATGCATGTTTGGTTAACTTTCTTCCATGCCTACTGGACAGCTCTGGATTGTTCTGTTTTGTTTATTTGATTGTAATGATACACACACATAAGCACACACAAACACACACAACAGGAAATCGACTCTCTTAACACATTTTTAAGTACGCACTACAGAATTGTTAACTGTATACACATTGTTGTACAGCAGATCTCTAAACCTTTTTTTCTCTTGCATGACTGTAACACTACATCCATTGAACAGAAATTCTTTGAGGTTTGGACACCTATTGTTTGCCAGCCCTTAATGATATGGCTCAATCACAAGAGAACACAATGTTTTACAAAACAATCTTGTTTGTGCTCTTGTGGCAGTGCTAACTATATTGACACACTTTGTGATTATTAGAAATCAGCTGGGAAAAAGAATGCACGCATTTAATTTTGCATTATTCTGTACTATTGAGTTAGTGAAATAAAAACCTTACTTTATTATGGCAAAGCTAGTAGTACATACATGAAGAAGACTTAGGAGACCATCCTGTCCCTGGGAAAAAAGAGAGTCACACCAGCAAAAATCTTATGAAAATCATATATGTCCGGGATCTTCAAATGGTTCCTAGCTCTGCGAGAGGAGAACGGCCTCTTGGGCAGTATCCAGCTGAAACAATTTCAACCAATAACAGACTAAGCAAGTATGTGCCAGTGAAGAGCATCTAGAATCAACAATGACATTTTGTATGATGCCTACCAAATTATTTTATTGGTTCATTTTCATTAGTGATCAAAGAATAAAATAATGGATTCTGCAAATCAACCTTACAAATATGAGTATTATTTTACTTCCCACATTCTGAGGAGGTACTAGGAAAGCATCGCTCTGAAAAACTAGGGAAGAAACTTAAATGGGTCATAGAATATTATCCACACATATGATTTCACAGAAACACAAGCAAAAACCTTCCTCAAAAATCCATCAGTAAAAAAAAAAAACTACCCTATTATTTTGAATAATGTCCTAACTCTTGATGATAGATCAAAAGATAGAAGAGTAAAGATGAAACCTGAATTCTATATTTAGGGAAACGTTGCAAATACCAAACCAAGTAATTATAGAGAATTATTAGATAGGCATGGGACTAATAAATGTTTTCCACACATGTGGTATCAATATGCCCTTTTTTACCTAAGGCTAGTCAGGCTCCTCTAAGCCCTATATGCCTTGATCTCTGTGTCCCATCCTGCACTGCCCAACTGTAGCAAGAATCTTGCTATGTCAGTTTAAAGAGAATCCCTCCCTCTTGGTATGTGATCATCTCAATATTTTATTAAATTCCTCATCCCTCCATTATCCCCCACCCCAGGTAATATCTGATCCTTCTAGCAAAATTTCTATCAGGTTAGCCAGAATCCCCCCTTATCCCAATGGTTCCTCTTAGTAATTTTCCATTCACTGACCCCCCCCAATCTTCTCCTTGACTATAAATACCAACTTGTCCATGCTGTATTCATAATTGAATTCAGTTCTATACTAAGATCTCTTTTCTCCTTTTGTAATAGTTCCTGAATAAATCTTTAATCACTTAACTGTACAGTTTTGATTTTTCTTTGACAGTGATATGAACCATTTACTTTCTTTAGATTATTATCCCAATCTTCTCTTCCTTTTGTCTGTATATATGTAGTTTTAGGTTTGAAAATATGTATCTCCATTATTTTTATGGAAATTAAATATTGAACTGCTCCTTTTTCTTATAGAGACAAGAATGTATCTGTTTATAAAGCTACAAAAATAACTGAACATTTAATAAAAGTCTTTGACTTTACTCAAGTCATCTATTATATATTTGTTCGTTCACATTCATTGCTATAGAGATGCAGCCAGATATGGCAAAATGTCAGACCTTGGAATACAGTTAACCTGGGCTTAATCCCAGATTAGTCAAGACTTATTTAAACTCCTTGAGCCTACTCCTCCTTATCCGTGATGTAGAAATATTTATGCCCACCTTGCAAGATTGTTATGAAGATTGAGCTATAAAATTTATATAAGACCCCTAGCACAGATGCTGGAAATAAAATAGTCACTCTGCCAATGACAATGATTATTAATGGATTCCACAAATATTTATTAAGACTCTACTACATCCCAAACACAGTGGTAGGTTTTAGGGATACAAATCTGAATAATATGTGCTTGCTCTCAAGAGGTCTCAGAAGCTATTGGGAGAGATAGATAATTAAATTATGATAATAGCTAGTTAAAGCC